TTTGAAAGTTGCAAAGTTTACATTTAAATTGACAGCTTTAAAGTTATCCCTATCATTTAACTTAAGATCTTTTCAAGGCCACAGAACGGAAAACAAACATGCATTATCAGTATTAAAGAAAGTTCAATTAATCATTATCATTGTATCACCCAGTCTATTTCTCATTGAATCTCCATCAACACTCTTAGAATAGAGTGGCTGTGGCTTTTTATTTGTTTCTAATAAATGAATCAAGTAAGAATCAGAGCATGTATGATCTCCTAAATGATCACCAACGTATACAAATGAAGCCATTTGTCTATTTCCACTATTATTTCTACACAAGATTATTAGTTCAGTTAAAATTTTAAGCTACTCTGCTTCAGAGTTCAAATAAAGACACTTATTGCATTGTTTGTTTGTGCTGTAACACTATAAATAATACTGGAGTTTATGTTTTTGTTCAGTGCTCTGTGGGACATTGAGACGGGCCAGCAGACCACTCTGTTTTCGGGCCACAGCGGAGACGTTATGAGTCTGTCTCTGTCCCCGGATTCCCGTACGTTTGTGTCGGGAGCCTGTGACGCCTCCATCAAACTCTGGGACATCCGAGACAGCATGTGCAGACAGACCTTTACTGGCCACGAGTCTGACATCAACGCCGTCTGTGTGAGTGCACAGTCTCATATGCACGAACGCACAGATACCGTATATAGACACATCTGAACTAGATGAACATTGACGTTTGCTGAATATCACTGGAAGCTGTAGTTGTTGGCCAGGACCTGAAACGGTACAACAACTAAAGACAAAAACCCACAGAATATGTTTGAAAACAGGACCAAAACTGAGAGAAAAGTTATTATAGAAGGCTTTTAACTGGTGATTTTGTTCTGGTTCATTTTCATAGAATCTCGGGGAACAAGACACATATTTTCAGGGTGAATACAATTTTTGATTCTGAGGTCAGGATTTGATTGTATTTTCAATATTTTACACAATGAAAATGTAGACATCTCTAATTATGTGTTACACCAGAGGTCTTGCTATGGCCCGGGATTTTGTAATCACTAGTAGGTGTAACACTAGGAGAAGTTCAGTTAACTACCAGCAATTACATAATCCAGAACTGAAAACTGAATTCAGGGTCCAGATTTTAAAGACCTCTAGACTAAACAGACTTTGGCAGAAATATAGAAAATTTATTTCAAAACAATAGACAGCAAAACAGTGCAGAGGTATAAACACTACAAAAATAGATGCCATGTTTTAATCACTCTCAGAGGTTTCCACAAAACATGGTTAATGAGACAGAGGTGCGTATCAGCAGTACAGTTTGAAATGTCCATACACTGTTTTAAATGTTAATGTTTTCATTTTACTGTGTTGAATTGTTACACTGTTAATAGAATCAGGGATTTAAAGCAAAATATTTTTCATTTTGGTTTGTTTCTGTACACAACCACTCCCCACTTGGTAGCCAGTTAGAACAAAATAAGAGTGTTTATTGTTCTCCTGATACAGTGTGTAAAGTTATTTAAATAACAGTAACCCCAGATCAGACACTGTTGCACTGCTTCAGTAAAAGTTTAATCGAAACAGAGTAATGTTATTAACCTGTTAAACCCAGTGTACGTTGAAAAAGCTTCCTGTTTTCTGATTACGTTCTGTAAATAATATTTTGTTTTCGTTTCCTGTTAAATGCTTCTAGTTTTATTTATTTTTTCAACTTCATTAGCTGAAAGCAGGCTGTTCCTTTATGATGGCACTTTCAAAGCTCTCATCTCTAAATCTTCTGACATTTTATGATATTTAGGATAACAGTGGAAATCCCAGGTGTTTTTATGTTCTCTCGCTGTTTTTATAGCATTCAAATTGAAGCTTATATGGTCTCTCTCTCTCTCTCAGTTCTTCCCCAGTGGCAGTGCGTTTGCCACCGGTTCAGACGATGCTACATGCCGGTTGTTCGACCTGCGGGCGGACCAGGAGCTTGGCCTTTATTCCCATGACAACATCATCTGCGGAATCACCTCAGTGGCTTTCTCCCGTTCGGGCCGCCTGCTGCTTGCCGGCTATGACGACTTCAACTGCAACATCTGGGATGCCATGAAGGGAGACCGTGCAGGTAGGTTAAAGTGGAAGCAGTCGTTTCTGGATTTAGTAGCGCTTTACTGGGGGCTTAAGTGTGACTGGTTATGAACACTATGCACAAAGCAGCTGTGGAAAGTAAAGGCTACATCTGCTCTTGAGTAGCTTTTAAAGCGTCTGTGCTTTACGTAAGGGGTCTTTTTTTTTTTTTTTGGGCAACTTTAACCTGGAGAAAACTAACAACAATATACCTGAGGTGCAGGAGGCAGTTACAATTCAGACAAAATTAATAAGATATAAAATTTATCATTTTTATGAAAATATTTAACCTTTATTTAAATGACTTTTAAACTCAACTGAGGCTGAGTGGGATGATTTCAGCATGCAGTCAGGGGCGGGAAAAATATATAATGAAGTGTTTGCTTACAGTAATGTGATGGTTTACAACCCTTGTGAGTTTAGAAGTTATGAACCACACTTAATTTGATTTCCACTGGAGTCCAAACGTCTGAGAACATAATGAAAATCTGGTATATTTTACATTTAAACCTGTACTGTAATAAACAGTAGAACATTTTACACTTTTGAAAACAGTTAAAAACAAGTAAGTGATGACAAATGTAGAAGAAATATTTAAGATTCTGTACCATTTCTAGGTCGCTGTTTAAATTTAAGCAGATTTGTGACATTGACCATGTTAAGGCTTTTGCACAAAAAGGTCTTATTTCTCCTGTTGACTCTCGTGTTCAGACGACTCAGGTGGGTTTATACTACTGTTCAAGGGCTTTTGCACAAACTTGCATCCATGCAAACTTGAGTGCACGGTCATTAAAGCAAAAGGGGGACATGTTTAAATTTAAAAGGTTCTTCTTTTCACTCAGATTGTTATATCAAGCATAAACTTTGTAATAGAAGATTTTGTATTAAATAGACAAATAGATGCATTTTCTCTAGTGGCATAGGTGTTCACAAGTTGACTCATCCAAGTCCAGTTGAGTCTTGAGTCTCTGGGGTGCCAGTATGAGTCAAGTTTTTAGTAGTGAGTTTTAGTTTGGTTTCATTATTAGCTGCAGGCATTGCACTGTACTAAAGCAAACCCCTACGAAAGACCTGTCAGGTTCAACACACCTTAACAAGCCTTTCAGCACAGAGAAACATTCAGTCTAAGGGACAGAACTGAAGCCCTACATACAGTAAATGAAGTGTTTAAGGAAAAAGGCAAAACTACTTGAAACTGTTGATTATTCTGTAGTTTGTATAACATGTATGCTAGCAAGCTAGACAAGTTATAAAGGATTTATTCAGCTATAAAGGAATGTGATCATCTATATTAGCTGGCAACTTTAGCTATATTAGCTATTGCCCAGGTTATCATACTTGCCACCAAAATTAAGTTAGCAGGGCATTTCAAACAGTTTTTCCACTTTCCTTTCAAACACTATATAGGTTTTACTAATTACCACATTAAGCTTGGTTGTCCTAGTTTAATCAGTGTTCTTTCTGTTTCTTTATCAAGTTAAAAGTCCTGAGTCTTGAGACTGTGTTGCATCACAAGTCATTTAAGGGTGTGTCCATGTCGAGTCACGAGTCGACTTGCGAGACATTTAAGAGCATGTCCGAGTTAAGTCGTAATTCATTTAAGAGCGTGTCCGAGTTGAGTCGTGACTCATTTAAGAGCGTGTCGAGTCACAAGTCAGTCAGTCATGATTTGAGTTAACATTTCTGACTAGCAGCCTCTCTTTTGGACCCCACAGCACAGTAAGCACCATATAACCTTTAAATGCTCATTCTCTTCCTCTTAGGAGTTTTGGCCGGCCACGACAATCGTGTGAGCTGTCTCGGCGTGACTGATGACGGGATGGCAGTGTGTACTGGCTCCTGGGACAGCTTCCTCAAGATCTGGAACTGACCTCACACAAACACATACACACATACACCTATTTAACAAGTACTTACACCACACCCTTCAGCACACAGTGTATGCCTACTTTACTGTACATAAGACAAACACAGAACCACACACACACAAACACATGCACAAACACGGAAGCGTATTGTACATACTATATATAATGCCAACTAGGTATGAGTTTACAATGACATTGCTTTATATACATAATGCCACACGAATCTGTACATGTCGCCAGTATCAGTGTATGCAGGTTTGGCCCACTAGTGCTAAACACGAATGTTCTATCACACACACACACACACACACACACACACACACACACAGAGAATACATCTACAGAGGACTTCAACACAGTGTAGATTACACACAGACTCCTACTTACCAAGTGACAAACACACATCTGGAGGAGAGGAAAAAGTGTTTGTTGGTGTCGAACACATCAAATTTGGACTTGTACTTAAACAGTATGTTTCTCTGAACACAAACACTTACAGCCAATCACTCCATTATACATGTACAATCTTTTCAAGATGGACACCAATTCTTGCACTCTGAGAAGACAGAGTGAAGACTTTGGGACTTTTTCCTGTTTTTTTATGTTTTATGTTTCCCACTATTCTAGCAAGCAGGTTTTCAGTATAGATGTGTCTGAAGTGGCTCTGTGGGTAGTGTGATATTGTATTAAATGAAGAAGAAAGCACTGAGGAAAAGGATGATGCTGAAAAAACTGAGACACTGGAAGGGCAAAATGTCTTGGAGGACTACATTTCCAGTTTGTTTTTTTTAGACGTGCACCGGCATATACGGTATATAAGTAATTCTAATAGTTTTCAGTTTAATTTCTTGTTTTGTTTATATTTTTTAAATGCTTATTTTATTCATGTTTCCCCATGTGCCTCAGATAACACTGTAAGGACAATGAATAAAAGCTGGGAAAAATAATACTGTTGAAAAGAATCTTCATAAAGTGTGCAAAACGAAACAAACAAACAAACAAAAAAAAAATCACACAATTTTTAACTGAGATCAAGTTATTTTTAATTTTCAAACAATCCCGTATTTAAGACATTACAGGCGTATGAGTTCATCCAGCACACTCTGTAAGACTGAAAACCATCAGTTCGTTAAAATCATCTCAAACTCGACCCTCTCATGAACGTAAACACTAAAAAATACATTTCTGAAACATCTACTTTTCTCCTTTAAACAAGAACTTTGAGAGGGAGGAAAAAGGAAAAAGTAAGAATGAAAGAAAGCAAAAAACATTTATCAACCCATCACAGAGGATATCAACTTTGTTGAGTTTTCCTATTGACCATTGACCTCTCCTGGTTACAGCAATCAAAATCAACCAAAAACCAATAATACAAATAAACAAACAAAAAATCATGAACTTCTTGTTTTCCATTCGCTGTAGTAAATATTTTACAAGTCAGCCAGGGGTTTACTTGCTGTCACTAGAGAATCGCAGAGAAATGCCACTGGTTAGCTTAATGCTAATAGTGTGTAGAGTAGATAAATGTGCCTCAAATCAGCAATTTAAGGCCATAAATGAGGGAATCATGCCCCTTACACACACAATCACAACACACTCTACCTGAAACTGGACACAGACCATATGTACCAGAGATCTCAAGGGTGAATTACGCTGATCCAGGATCAGTTCTATAATCAAACCTATATGATTATATTCATTTGGATGAGGAAGGCAAAAACTGATCCTAGGTTCACATTTTTACTCTCAGATCAAAGATAGTATGACTCCATGACCCACAGTCACTGCTAAATATACCTGATGAAAATCATCCAGGGAAACCGATGAACAGAACTTATTTTCTTGTTTATGTTTGTGGAACAAGTTTTAAAACCTTGTTTTATTTCCAACTGCGTAGGAGGTGTTTAACTGAATGGAGTACAGCTATCGGGGCTTTTCTGAGCAAAGTCTAGTCCTAATCCTAGGACTAGACTTGTGTTCTAGAACCAAAAAGAAATCATGAAATAAGACTAAGAATTCTGGAATTTCCTAAATTTACAAGGCTGAAGTTGGTTTCCCATTTGGAAGCTTCTTATTCACACGTTTCTGTTCCACCTTAAATGGTGGAGCAGTAAGAATGCGAAGAAATCTGGGAAATGAAGCAGACAAATTCTAATTCTAGAGTAAATTTGTTTACTCTAAAAAGACTTTTTGGAGTGATTCCATAAAAGAATCACTTTTCTTTTCCTAAAGATCCTTTCAGGGGATGCTTTTTTAAAGAAAATGAGAAGTTTAAAGAACCTCCACACACTGTAAAAGTCTCCACACCGATTGAAGGTTTTCATGTTTACATGGAAGAACGTTTTAAGGAACTTTTAATTTTTAAGGGTGTTGTTATAAACACTAGTCCAAAACTTTTGAATCTCAAATTTAGCATGATTTACTTGACTAATCAAGCTCCTGTTTGAATATGCAGCCTGAGCAAGCTTAGCTAAGAGTGCAACAGGAAGCCTGGCTTACATTCAGCATGCCTGTCAAGGCCACAGCTAGCCCTCCATATGATGTCACTATAAAAGTACAGGTAAAGAAAGGACAGCCATACTGAAGACACTGGGCCGCTGCTGCTTGCTAACAGCTGTAATGAGGATTCTCATATTGGGAGGAATGTGGTCAGTTGTGAGAGAATGACGAAATTAAAAATAAGAATTAACCTAGCCGCAAGCGGCAATGGAAGGGTTCCAAGCACGAAAGGTCACAAGGGGGCGTTCCAGCACATTTGTGGCACATACAGGACATAAAATGGTCCACATAACAGAAGAGTTTGATGTATTATGCAAACACTGTTAAAGTTTCTAAACATCACATTCAGTAGCTAGTCCATATATGGAAATTATGTAGCTTGTTTTAACTGTTTCTGTGACATCATGAAAATCAACATATTTACAAATATACACCTATACAGCCAGTTTAGCCTCGTCTATTTATGTTGAAGCTATAAGGAGTTATAAGGAGTTTAGCCTGGACTTCTTTTTAAATGAGACAGCCAAAAGTCAGAACAAAGGTCATTTACATATATCTGTCTTAACAACATAGTAATGAAAATGACCAGTTTCATTCTAAGGCCTAAAAAGAAGTTGGCAAATAGTCATGTGAAAATGAAAGACGACTCTTTTTGGTACATACACCCACAAAATGTCTCTACTGATTAATATTAGGTGTTTATGAGCTTTCGCTGCTTTGGAAGTACAAACAGTAATGGTTCCTGTGTCAATGTATACCATTATATACCTTTACAGCAGAGCTTAATAGTTTATGAGACAATTCTGGTAAATATATTGAAAACAGCCTGTGAGACGTGTATAAGGTTGGTTTGGGAAAGTCATCTACCCTTTCTGATGAAAGTGTTAACTTGGAGCAATATACCACATATCGCCGTCATGTCTGAAGAGGACGTGCAAGAGCTGGTTTAGTGACGTTTTCATACTATAGCACCCCTCATAATAATCTTTGGTGCTTGGAACCCTAAAAAGCTGATGTGGATGTGATATCTGAGCATGCTGCTGCTCTCTGTGACTAACTTGACGCATACTGGTCCTCTTTTTGCTTAGACTGATCCTCCTCCTCTCTCCATCTCTCCCTCTCAGGGCATCATGAGCAGCACACACTCAGATCAAAAATAACTCTCCTATTCACACATACACACACCCACGCTCCCTCTTTTCTAAAGCTCACAGCGAACAACGACACACAGAGAGAGGGAGAGAGAGAGAGAGAGAGAGAGAGAAAGAGGCACATCAGTCCAATTCCCTAACTAAAGTCATAAAGCACATATAGCCGAATGTACAGCTCTCAAAGCTAAAGCGGAAATATACATTGTGCTTAGAATATCATTAGGCCGGTAAAAGTGTTACACATATAAATCTGTTCCAATGGAAGGTTACATTCATTAAATTATCACAATATACATGTGGATATAGTCCTATGTAATAAAATAATCATCGAATGATATATTACTTTTTGATTCCATCGCAAATAGGCACCCTAAAACGGCTATATAAATTCAGTCTCTGTAATTTAAACCATTTATCTCTCTATATATAAGAACCTCTTTATTATAACGCACTATATGAAGATATACAGTACCAGTCAAAAGTGTTAACACACCTGATTGGATGTATCTTGTTCAGAATCATAAAGACATTTTGATCTAAAAGCTCGCGCTTAAATGCTTGACATTTGTTTATGCCTATTTTGCCAACAAGGTCAAGCCCATCCCAGGTTGTTCTTCATGAAGCTGCTTGAGAGAACTCCAAGCGTGTGCAAACCTTCAAGGCGTACTCTGAAGAATGTAAAGTAAGAGATAGTTTGGACTGGTTTAACATGTCTTTGGTAGGTAATTCTATAGTTTGATGTTACTGTTATTCAAAAACGTGGAAAATGTGAGGAAACCCTTCTTGTGGGTGTCCAAACTTTTGACTGGTACTGTGCACTGGAGAACCATTTGGATTCCACCATCCAGTTTTGTAAGGAACGCTGGGACATTGTTACATCACAATGCATGGAACCGGCTCGTTGCCACGGCAACCCCGACCACTGTCTGTAGAAACCAGCGCAACTCGCTGCAGCTTTCAAGCAATGGGCTCAGCATTGAAGCCTAGAGTTTGGGGGCAAATGAGGCTCGAATACGAGGCCCTAATTCCATCTAGGGGGGAAAGACCTTGCCTAACGCATGGCTTTGGGCCTGAACTAACTGTTCTGGCTAACGTCAGTTTAAGTGCACTTTCTTGACTTTCTTGATTGCACTGGGTTTACTTCGTCAAATCAGGAACTAGCAATTTTCCTTCTTCCCTGAATCGTTACAAATGGGGAGGATGGATTAGAAACCTGTATGGAAATGTTACAGCATCCTTTGCTCAAATACACACACATGCACACACACAAAACCCCACTCCAAGGCACTGCTATAATGGTAAACATGGTAGTTTGGCTTATTAAGCAACAAAATGGCTATAAATCCTGTAGAGTACATGAGTGTATGATAACTCAAGTGTGTACGAATAAACAAGAAAGTGAAAACTAGCAACTAGATACGTATGAGAAAGAATGAGAGAACAAGGATCACTGGCTACGATAAAAAGTAACTACATTTAAATATCTCAACAGATTGGTTTTTGCTAACGTGACACTGTGACAAGAACAAAACACAAGCATAAAACGAATATGCAGGGGTTTGTGTGTGCATGCGTGACTTGGTTTAACTAGAATTTAGAAGTACAAAGGAAGTATAAATTAAAAGATTTATTAAAGAAAGCCTCGCTCCAATATAGAACTTTAAGAACCTTTAACACACTTCAGGGTCTTTTTTAAACTATTTTCTTTAATATGTGATTTTCTCCTTATATAATATTCATTTTAATAATGCCTAATGCTACTGCCGTTGTGCATACCTTATAGAAAAAAAGTAGTTTAGCTGATGGGGTCTCTGCCTCAAAAGCCATCAGAAACAGGTTCTGACAAAAGTCAAAGTGCTTCGGTGTGTTACAATCGCATAAATCCTCTTCATTCAACTATCGCATTGAGAGCTTTTTTTAATATAGGCATCTTTCTGGTAGTAATAGCTAATATGCTCTTTCAGTTACACTCTATCAAAAAAATAAAACTAGGGTTGGGCGATATGACGATATGATGCTATCACGATACATGAAATCACAACAGGCTTTTCTAGCTCATCTGCTTGGATGTTGTGCCGCACAGTATTTGAAACGTTACTGGTATGTGGTATATAGGCCTGTTACAATTAATACATAGTCCATAGTGACCAATTATTCAAGCTGACTGCAGCTTGTTAGCTTTCACAATCAAATGTTTACATCTCTTCTGTGGATTGGCTGCATTTTTATCCATCAAAGCAGAAAACATTTTACTGAGACACATTGTTTCTTACGAAAAACTACATTTCTAACATTTAACTGCTGCTATAACACCTTTAGAGGGCAGCAGTGAGTAATGTTTGTTTATTCAAGCTCCAGCTGTGTCTGTCATCAAGTATCATTCAATCTAGCCACCTTAGGCGTAGGCTTGTACTTTAATAGTTGGCATACAGTACAATTAATCTGTTGACTGCAATTTTTCATTTAGCAATTATTCGTCAGCTAAGATTTCAGGACTGTAACAGGCCTAATCGTATATTGTGAAAATATGATGATATGTATCATATATCGTGCTATTATCTTGATATTACATTGCTGCCATATTGCCCACCCCTAAATCCAACCACATATAATAATTCAATAACTGAGCAGCCTTTCTAAGCAGCAGATCTTATTATGAACAGTAAATATCGTACGGTTTTGTAAACACAGATTTTGGATCCACAGTAGACTGTGCGAGCAAATGAAGGGGAAAGTTCCGATGCTTTTCTGGATTTGCTAGTATTGCAGGTAACATCACGCACGCACGGCCGAAGTCAGCGGCTCAAAGAGTAGAGCCCACTTAAGCTCGCCGACCTTTCTGCTATTGCTTTGGACTACACTGTGTACTTTACAGTACAGTCTCACACTCATACACACACACATACACGAGTCCAGCCAAAATCACTGTAAGAAAAAAAAAGAAAACCTGTTACCAACTAATGAAAAGTTCTATCCCAAAAAAAAGGATGGGTCCAAATATTTACCAAGGAAACTAAATTTCGCACTGCACGCCTGATGCAATCTAGAAAGACTAATCCAAATCTAAAAACAACACTTCCCGTAAGGCTATATCTCACATCTCACACCAGGGAGCCATTTTGGCAGCATAAATGCATGGCGCAGTTGTGAGATCCTTTGAGAAGTAAGTGAAAGATCAGTGTTGATTTTGAATAACGTAGTTGTGTGACGATATATGCTAACTGCTCAAGAAAAATCAGTGTAGTGTGTCGAAGCTTACTTCAAAAATTTCATTTTTAACAAGGCATGGATGCTATATACAGTGGCACGCATTCACAACTGGACTACACATTCATGCTGCCAAAAACTATCAAAGAAAAAAAAAATTAAATTAAGTTTAATGAACTTCAACTCGTCTCCTTGACCTCGTAATCCGACTGGGTTAAAGAGGAGCTCCCCCTTTGTGAAAACTTCAAAACGAGAACAGCACAAATACAGCACATATTGCAATAGAACAGCAAGAGATACAGTAGATTATTAAAGTAAGAATAATACCAAATACCTATACATACAGAGAATATCAAACTGCCCAAGATATACTGTTCCGACAAAGAGAGAGAAGAAAAAAAAAAGGCATTCTCAAAAGCTAAGTCAGAGAGAGACTGCCATGTAGTAGTGGTTACACTTCTGTGCCCTACAGTCGAAAAAAGCGCAACGCTAAATTCAGTTCGTAAAAGCAGTGACTACTAAGAGCGCTTTGACCACTTGAACGGTCAGTTGACTTCTTGTCGAATTCTGTCCAATTCTTGGCCGTACAGCTAAGAGCAAAATGAATAAAAGTGGCAAACCAGCTCAAAACATGATATCTATTTGTGAGATCTGCTCTCTACTCTTTTGCTTGTTGAAATGAAAAACGGTAAAATCACTGATATTTTGAACCCTTAAATGCAACTGATAAACAAACGACTAGGCTACTGCACTATACAGTACGGTGGAGAATGGAAAATTACAGATGCTGCAGTACTGCTCCCGACCACTAGAGGTGCATCCATCACCACAAAGAGTTCCAAGCTGTTCCTGCTGTTTTGTGCAGCCTCTCACACGCACACTCACTGCTGCTGCAGGGAGGCTGCTTCTCCACAATCGCTCTCTTCTCTCGTTATAAGGTTGGAATGTTGAAATAAGGCTCTTGAGTGAGCAGAAAGCAGACTAGTTTAAATCTGGTGATCTAGTTGAAGCGAGTACTTGGTTTGAAGCTAAAAGTAAGCTCCATTATGGCCAGTAAAGCAAAGGCGCGTACACGCATACTCACTCCCACACCCACACAAACTCTGTACAACAGGCTCCGAGTTAAGAGAAGAACCTTCATTCAGTGTGACAGTCTGCCACACGGGTGCTCCGCTGTGCATGTGTGTGGTGTGTGTGCGTGCGTTCATATCTCTGTTTTCAGGAGTGTGTCTGTGAGGAAGTGTTGTGTGTGAGCAAAAGCATGAGGACACTGTATCTCTTTGTCTGTGTGTGTGTGTGTGTGTGTGTGTGTGTGTGTGTGTGTGTGTGAGAGAGTGTGTGTGCGCATGTGAGAGAGAGAGCTGAGCAGAGCAGTGATGACAACGCTGCTCTATCACCAGTTCATGATGCAGTTTCTGTTCAGAGTCATGAAGTAAACCTGGCTGCTCCCTCCAGATCGCACAGAAGCAAAGAACACCTAAAAGAGAGGAGAGAGAGAGAGAGAGAGAGAGAGAGGAGAGAGAGAGAGAGAGAGAGAGAGAGAATACATTTGTGGAAGATGATTTATTAGGTGATACAGTTAGAAACTACAGCCCATCTGTTGTATAATCTAAGTTACTCATCCATTAGCCATTCATCAGTGGTGAATGGTTTTTGACTACAGAGAAATGTAAATGTTAATATGTTGTATGTTCACATGTCAAGATTGTGCTGAAATCTGCTGAAAAAAATGCCATATTTAAGTTTGTTGAGGTGTTTCTATGGAGACCTGTAAGTATGTGTGTAACAGACCTTGTCATTTCTCTCGCAGAGGAACTTGAGCCTCTGAGCTCTTTTGTGCATGAAGACCCCGTCCAGGTGGCCCGTCTCTACTGAGCGGATTTCTATAGCCTTCTCACCCCAGCCCATGATCTGATTAGAGCAGATATGAGCTACACACACACACACACGCACAAACAGGGGTAGATGGGCACGGAGAGACAGAACATATTAAGGCATGTTCACATTTTACAATATATAATATACACACAGAATAATATTACTGCTGTACAAACTCAGAATATATGCGTTTAATGCATGTGAAAGCAACCCAATAGAAAGCTATTACATGAAATATTTATGATGAATACATCGGCTGATGCCTGAGACAGTGTTTTGTGATAGATTTAACACGAGGTCTTGGCATAAAAAATGTATTTTTTAATTTCATCGAAAGCAGGGAGGTATCATTTTAAGAAATGTTACACTTTAATTACTTTGTCTAGAGACCCCAGTACAGTAACATTAACAAACTTCTTACACCCAAATGAGGCCGTGTGCATGTTTATTGATGTGTTTGTGTGTGGCAGATGTGGGACCAGGCAGAGGCCAGAAATGTGTTAACTATGTGAGCTTCCTTGCCATACCAATGGGGACGTAAGCGCGTGTGTGTGTGTGTGTGTCTTACCGACAGAGGTAGGCATCTCTCCCCACTGCAGCACCACGTCTTTGATGATGCGGCCGTAGGTGTTGACGTACACTCCTTCGTCCTCATAACACAACAGCATCTCCATCCCATCAGAACTGGGCAGGAAGACGATGGCATGCGGGGTCACCTGAGACTGGATCTACACACACAGACACACACACACACAGACATTTTAACACAGAATATTTGACATAAAATACATGAAACATGTTGCTTTGAGTTTACTAAAGCCCTATTGGAGGTCCTTCAGTAACAGCAGTCCTGTTCCAATCTGTGGTAATTTAGATATTCCACAGATACTTTATGCCATCCGAGCTGGCAAATCAAATTCCAAAAATGTAGATTACTCAGACTCCTCTTGTCCAGCTTCAACAGTGTTTGAGATATATATATATATATATATATATATATATATATATTATACAAGTTGCCAGACTCCAGTCTCGTTCACCCCGTGCACCTGCAGTACCTGTCTCAGCCACAAGCAGCCGCCAGAATTAACACTGGAATGCAATAATACGATCTAATGTCTAACAGTGCTGTGTTTGAAGAAGCTGGAAGAGTTTAATTTAAGTGAAAGTAAAACAGTATCACTCTGTCTCTCACAAGCAAGTCTGTGTTTGACTCTTTCGGCTACTCTAATGTGGAGTCACACTGCTGACTATTCTGTCAGACTAACTCATTTTACCACGATGTCATGACAACGAAATGACTTGCAAATAGAGGAAAACAGGTGTGTTTGGTAACCACACAGGTTCACCACACAGACGAATCCACAGCTGACATTTTTAAAGTTTATTTTTGGTAGAAAACAATGTCCTGCACTCTGTCACTGTATGTGCTGTCTTTTAAAAATATGAACGTAAACTCTAAAAAAGTGGCTAGCAATCGTTGCTAAGCAGTGATTGGAGGGCTGAGGAAATTAGAGCCGGTCTTGAGATGGTTCTGATTGGCTCAGTCCCTGATGTTGACAGTTTATACACGCCCCTGTCCTGTAGTACGGTACACGGCTTTTGTCGTGTACTGGATACTGTACTGTATGCTACTATAAAGAGTAGCGTGCAGAATACAGTATATACTGCTGCATTATGCAGTATACAGTACACTGTATACAGTATTCAGTTCACAGTATGCAGAATACAGTACACAGCCTTAGTGACTCACATGGACGGGAATGTAGATGTCATAGTTGTTCCCAGAATCAACATCGATGGCATGGAACCCAGCACTTGACCCATAGATGACCTTTAACCTTTGACCTTCCTCCACCGTCAGGTCAACCAGCTGAGGCCTGTGAGGCAGGTCACTGAACGACTACAGAGAGAGAGAGAGAGAGAGAATTAACTGCCCAATCAAATCTGCACAACAAAACATCGTCTGCAAAACAGCTAAGAACACTTGCTCATAAAAATGATCAACTGTGGAGACAAAAACCCAAAGATTTTGAATCATGAATCATTGAATCATTCATGATGATCTACATGTTCCCACCTTGAAGGCCATAAATTTGTGGTAGGGTTTAGGAGCCCAGGCATAAACCTCCACCGCATTCTTCAAAGCGATCACTAGGAATTTAATCCGCTCGTACTTCACTGTAAACACATACAAACACAGGATTAGTCATACATTACAGAAGACAGGAAAATATGCAGATTTAATCACGTTTTAAACCTGGAGATGGTCTTATTTTTCTTTGCTCACTTTGAATAGCATTCTAGTCCATTTAGCAGTGATTATTTAACCCATATTTATGGCACTGTAGCCAGTTTGGTAGCATATACTTACCTACTGAGTAAGGCACTATAGTCAGTGTGGTAGCATATATTTTCCCAATTTGGGGACCATTCATCAGTTTCATGGTGCACACTTATCCACTTTGCAGCGCCTTCTAGACTGATTTGCTTGTTTACCCACAATGTACAGCATTCCTTGTTGATTCTGTAGTGTCCACTTACCCACTTTGTAGTGCACACAGCCCTCCATCTCCCCTACAGTGGTCCAGCCCTGCTTCTTCTCCACTTCTGGGTCATTATGGAGGATTTTATTCCTCAGCCAGGCCAGGTAATACACTCGCACCTTATTCTTCTTCCCTGATAAAAAGTGAAGAGAACACTGTCAATACAAAGCTCAGTGTCGTGAATAAACTATAATGAACCTGCGTGTGATGCATGTTCATGTGTACTAACTAAAGCATGACTAACTATAACACAAAAAAGTGAGTCTAATTTGTGCATCAAATTTATTCACACTATCAATGTAATAAGACAATTTATTTACATAACAATTTTTCTTTGCTTTCCTTCCTGGTATAAGTTATTTAGAACGTAACAATACAAAGTATAATATTGTATCAAAATATATCACAGGATGTCATACAGTAAAACACTATCATTGTAACATATCATATTGTTTTACCATGACTAACATGTTAGCATGTGGGTAGAGCAACACAGCAAGACACTATACAACACAGCTTTTGTTTAAAATATTGTATTTTTATAATGTTAAACGCTCTGATAAACAGAAATGGAAAGAAACATGAACACAAGGCACACTTTCAGCCACTCTAATTTTTTTTTCTCTTTTGTCTCAAACACTGCAAATCAATTTGCGATTATGAGCAGCATTTTACGAATCAAATAGATGCTTCCGTAACGAGTACTGGGTCAGTCGATTACATGCACTCATTTCTACTACTAACCTGATATGGTGATGAGCAGGTTAAGTCCCTCCAGCACGTCCATCTGCTGAAACCTGCGGGAGTTGATGAGCGGATAGACTTTGCCCTGCCCACTGCGGTCCAACAGCTTCAGACCATTCTCTGTTCCTACCAGCAAGTTTACACCTGCAAACACATCAACAGTCTTCTCAGAATGAAATCACATCCACACCTGAGAGCATTTTAGACCACTCTTTGCTTCTCCTAACAAATTTAGATCTGAAAATAAACACACATGTAGTGTTATCATAGTGTTACAACAGATACACAAAAAATATCATACCCCAGAGGGCAGCACAGAGGATCTCTGAGTTGAACCTCTTCTTGTACTTGCGGATCTCTGGGGTGTCGCTGACGGGGCGGGTGTTTGTGGGATTCACGTTAACCATGGAGCCTTTTCTCACCTCCAACTTCAGCTGATCAAAGCGAGAACCCAGACCTGCAGACAGAGAAGAATTTAAGACTTACACAGACAGGAACATTTAAATCATTTAAATCCAACCCCTAAATCATATGAACCCTATAATTAGGGTTGGGCAATATGATTATATTTATTGTTACTGAAACAAATCACATAATTATGACAGACGCTTTTATACGTATGATATATGCTCTTCTGAGCTTTTTGTGAATGTCAGTACTTAAAAGTACTCTGACCAACTGCATGTTTCATTACAAAGAGAGCATAATTAGTCCTAATTAGAACTAACCTCCCACTGAGATGGTCTCCCCTGTCCCTCCTGATGGTTGGTACATTCCAAGATTCACAAAAGTGGTGAAGGAGGATTTCCCAGAGGCCTTAACCAATCCCCTGGACTGATACTGAAATCAATGCAATCACATCTGAATTAACCAATCAAGGTAAATGTTAATAAAAAAAAAAAAGAATTGCACCACTTATTTACTTATTCACTGTATTGTGATCATTTACTGACTGTATAAATACCACAATAAGAATAACTTGTATTTGCTTTTACATGTTTTACAATATTTTCTTCAATATTACGAAGCTCTAATCTAAACTACAAAGGCAAAAAAGTCACTCACGTCAAAGGTGGAGTCTTTCCCAGGAGAAGAGTGAGAGGCAGAGTCGGTGGGGGAGTGTGATGGCTGAACTACGTCAGGCAGGTTAGTGTATCCATTATGACTACGCTTCTCTGGAGTCTAAACACACACAAGCACACACACACACACGGCCATTAAAACTGTTTTCCTGTACTGTACAGTACTCAAGGCACATGCAGTTCACACTTAAGTTCACACTTAAGACCTTTACACACTGAGCGTAATTCACTGGTGCAATTTATCTGGACGTCAATGAACTAGTTTGAACATGTGTAACTGATGATGTGCACCAAATGCAATGTTTCAAGCAGCAAAAACAACACATTATTTTGTTTGACGCTGTGTTCGATTTATGCAGATTTTGCAGGCGACATAAACTCACTTGACCAATCTCAGTTGTCTCTGGTGTTGGCACTGGGTCAACTAAGATGACTGATCGGTTGTGTCCCAGCAATTTTTCACAAATGTCAAAAGGATTCGTTCGTACTCTGCTTTGTCACGGATGCTGTTAGCATTTTAAAAGATTCAATATTTTAAAATCTGTAAGACTATTATTCAGTTTGCAGACTAATTAACCCTTCTTCATTTCCGTTCACTCTGCTTGTGTCACAGTCTGTCTGCGCGACAAGCAAAGTCTTCTTTTATGGTACAATAACAATAAAAGTCTTATCGCTGCTAGTCTCAGTACAAGACACCTTACGTTCGGCAAGAGTGTCTGGTGAGAGGACAAATTAACTTAGGAAATGCAGTAAGTCGATCTGACTTGGTCCGATGTCTCTAATTAGATTTTACTCTGAAAACCCATATGACCACAGTCCATCACTCAAACAAGCCCCCGGAGTGAGCAGCGTTGGCTTGGAAGCTTGAAGTTTCTTATATACAAAATAAATATTGAAGAGAATCAATTTGAAGTTGTCCTTTCAGATATACGCCGGACGCTTGATAGAACAGAATCACTACTTTTGCTTATGCTTGCTGAATTCCAACCAGGACACACTTGGATTTTTTTAAAAGGTTCTCACTGGACATTCCACCCGCTACCCATGTCACTGTACTCACTGCATTTTTTAAATGTGGCACCAGTGGTTCCTTTTTTATCTGTTTCAACTGATCAAACCTCAGAAAATTATGCGTATTGTGTATCGAGAAAACATACCGAAGTATTGTGATGTTATATTTTTGCCATATTGTCCACCTCTATTACTTCCTGTCTCAGGAAACCATTACTAATATATGCCATTGATGCCAGAGTGAGCACCCCCTCATCTTTTCCAAACTGCTACCAATGCAATGTCATCAGACAGCAATGTCTTCTCCAGACATGCACTTGGAATGCTAACTGCTAATTCTCTTCAATCAGCTAACGTTGGCTAGCACTATCATGATCTCTCAGTGACAGGCTCACTGCTCGGCAGCTCACTTTGTGGCTTTGAGTTGCTTGAAAAAATGACCGACATCCCTTTTTAAGGAGGGCCGATTTTGCAGTGGTATTATAAAGCCTGGAATTTGAGGCTGTATCGCCCCCACTGCTTCCTGTAATATACTGCAATCTGTCAGAATGATGACATATCATTTGAATATTATAGGTTGATTTTGTTGACTAATTGTTGCAGCTGTAGAAAGACAGATCTCACCCTCTGTACAAGCATTGTCTGGTCACCATAACCACCAGCACGCTCTTCATCTCCTCCTTCACCATCCTCTTCCTCATGGACTACCATAGTGTTCACTGAGTCAGAATCTGGATCACGTGGGCTAAAAGTGAAAACACAGTGTGAAAGAACACAGATAAAGACAATGCTTGTTTTACTGTTGGTCATGCCCTTTCCTGCCTAGCAGACAAAATCAGACAAACCCATGCAGTTTTCATTCCTCTTTCCCACTCTCTCTCTTTCTCTCCCTTCCTTTCTCAAAGGTTAGCAACAGCTAGGTTCAGGACTGAACATGCAGGTTTTGAAATGATTGGCAGTCTGTATGAGTTGTTAGGTATGGGAGAAGTGTCTGGTTTTATAGGCTTCAGTTTAAAACCTTTATGGATCAATCGCTGATCGAAGATTAACAAATACATACATACTAAATACAATAATCTTACAGTTAATGCAATAATTATACTAACACTAAATTACACTAATTTATCACTCTGTCTATTTGCTCCCCACTTCTCTCTCTCGTCCTCATCCACACTTCCCTCCCTCTCCCTTTCCCTCTCTTCACCACTCCTTCCAACGTTGTCTTTTAGAAAGTGTGTTTTTTTTTCATAGAGCACAATCAAAACCAGAACAAAACTGAGTAAACTGCAAAACCGAGTAATCTCTATGTTCCTTTAAATGTGGTTGACCAGTTATTAATATTATTTTGTTCTGGATCATTTTCATAGAATCAGGGATCAGAAATGAAACGTTTCTCATTTGGATTTGTTTTGAAATGTGTTCCAGTTGTGCAATAAATTTTCACTCTTCACTCCCTTCCCCTCCTCCCTCTCTCTCTCTGTACCGGTCAGAAGGACTCTCCTCCTCCGCCCCTTCTCCGCTCTCGCTCTCCTCACTGCTCTCGCTGCTCTCTGATGATGATGAATAGTCATTGGCCTTCACTGGAGGGCGAGGCTGCTCCTCCGCACGTTCCTTCGAGTACAGCCCATGGTCCTGACACACATACACACGGAATGAGAGAACAACATGAATACCTGAACATACCAGAGACATATACTTCTGTAAAGACCTGCAGTGCACTTAGTCATGCAGTTTAAAGTGATGGTTATGCCAAAAATCCAATTTACACAATTTCCCCCTTACCCCAAACGCAGTTGATTAACCAAGATTTGTCATCTTTAGTTCTGCACTGGAGCTAAGCAGCTAAAGTAGCAAATAGAATATGAGTAATGGAAAGTCATGTAATTCAGTTAACATACAAAATGTGTATCTAAATCATCATATTTCCCTCAAACCATGTAGAGCTGTTAAAAGTTACACAATGTACGTTTTGGGGATTTGGAGACCTCTCTGGTGGAAATGTGTAATTGCATGCAACGATGTAATGTGGGTTGTGCTTCGGAACCCCCCCACCCCCAAGTGGATGAATCTGGTGATTGGGTGGATGTTGAAAGAGTTTTCAAAGAGCACTCAGTCAAAACTCGGTGAATGACATACCTTCTGAATTATCCAATTAGTACTTAAGAATTATTTACTTAATAATGTAACCATTTAATTGATTTACTTACTAATGTAATAATTAAAACTTAATTAATTGTAATTGTAATTAATTTTTTAAATGAATTATCTACTACTGTCATCATATCTGCATCATTTTGTTGATTTTGAGACCTAAACATCAAATCAGACCTACTTTTTGAGCCTGTGCCTGTCGATAATTGTTGTTTTATTGGTAAGTGTCATAGAGTGTCAGAAACCACGCAAGCAAATGTATGAGATTCCTGAATAATTGGACAGCACAATGCTAACTGAGGAGGTATAAGTTACTACTACCTACTACTTATTACCGACATCAGTCTTGTAGCTCCAATGCAAAACTCAAGAAGCAAACTTATCTAAACATAAACATATCTTGGTGGATTAACAACATCTGGGGTAAGAAGAAAACTGTAAATTTACAATTTGGCAAAATCACTGCTTAAATATTTTGCTTTTTTCTAACTGTGCCTGCAGAGTTACATAGTTGTCTGGGAATTCAGGCAAGTTTCTAACACTGATTAGTGACCATTTGTGCAAAGTTAGTGCTGATTTAGGGTCAGCTGCAAACTTGCACACATCAACGTTCATCTGAAAAGGGAAGTGTAACCTCATACTGAATTAACACTGTCACTCTAAGAATCTAAGATTAAAAATCATTTCAGACTTTTATCCAAAGAATAGCTGACCCCAGATCATTAGATTTCAGCTACAGACAATGAGCTCCTCTCACTCAATGCAGAGAATCAATAGTTGTCATTAATACTCATCAGAAAAACAAATTCTGCCTGTGTCGACCCCAGTCATTAGGCACTAATTGCTCAGCTAATTACTGCCTGCAGTGATTTTGGAAAAAGCTCTGCATTTATCTGGGTCACTTCACTCATCATAGATCATCAGCAAAATGCGACTACGCAAACAAACATACACAAACACACACACATGCAGATACTGACCTCTCCTATTGCTCTCTTATAGCTCTGAGGATCGAGGAGAAAAGCAAGCACAAAGAGAGATTGACAGAGGACAGTGATTATGGGTTAGTATTAGGAGAAGAGAGAAAACTGGTTTAGCTGATTTTGTAAGTACTGATAGTAAAGATTATGTGGTAGGGAAGCTTCAGGAAAGCCTGTACGTGTGTATGTGTTACCGCTGGTCTGCTTGGTCTGGAGGAGGTGCGGGATTCTCCTGGTTTGTGGCGCCCATCGTGAGAGAGGATTGGAGAGGAGTCCATTTTTGATGAACCTCAAACCAAAACACAATACTTACAAATGCCATTTAACAAGACACTAAACCAAATTATGAACTCCAATACTCAATCCATGCTGCACACAATTATACAATATTGTACAGCTTCAAGGGTGGCTGATACGGTTTTTAACTATGTGATGTATTTTTGTCTATTTTTATACGAACAGTACGTCAAACTGTGCAAGAAAGCATAAGATTACTAAACATCTCAGTGTGGTTTGAGGAGAGATGATTAGACATGCAGTTTGCACAGTGTTGACCTGGCAGCTATAAGCTTCTATTGCTTGTTAGCCTTGTAGCTCAAAGACACTCACTGAGGATGCGGTGTCTCTCCAAGGAACCGGTCTGAGGCAGGTTGGACATCAGGCTCATGCTGTCTCCTCTTTCCCAGCGGTCGTTGCGGCTCAGATCAGGATTACTGGCATGCGAGACAAAAACAGTCAAAAACCTCAGCCTAACGACCAATTAAAATCAGACAAATCCCCTTTTTAACCAGAGGCCACAAAGTCCAAGGATAATTTTTGCCAACTGTACTTTCACACATACTACCTCTGTGTGGCAGCAGGACTGCTACAACTTGCACGTTTTTGCCAATACAGTGTTAATGCTCCTGAACTACATTGCCTGGGCAGTCATTTCAAGCCTATAGACCACCGGCCTTCAAATCTAGACCCTGAATCCAGTCCTGATTCTTACAATCACTGCAGGTTAACTGAACTATTGATAGAACTAATATAAATTGGCAAAGGAGCGATTACAAAATCCAGAGTTGGAACTGGAAGGTCCAGATTTGAAGACCTCTGCAATACCAGTTTATTCTGATACTGAGTTGACACTGAATAGTTACACGCCTCTGCAAGGTTTGAGTGTGTATAAGTGAATGCACATTGCATGTGTGTGTGAATGTGTTACCTGGCTCGTACTGGGTGTCTGATGCCAGAGGACAGGTTAGTGTTAAGAGCAGTAGCTATAGAGGCTGTTCGCTGTGGAATCTAAAAAACAGAGTAGTGTAACATTTATAATAACAGCAGGCATTTCTGAATTTGTATTACATTTACAGTGTGCATCACAAATACAGTATGTATTGCAAATCATCGCTGTCAGAACAAAACCTTATATCTCCATTGTCGTTTATTTATTTATTTTACAGAATTTGGAAATGACAGTCACCAAAAAAAATATCCAGAATCACTTGGAAAATATCCTGTTCCATTAACTACCATTTAAAGTTTTTTTCTTTAGTTAGCATTTTGGAGATACGTGGTTTAGTGAAGTGACAAAATACATCATGCATTATAAAGCATTACAAAGCGCATATTTTCAGTAAGCGTCAGATTTATAACATACAGTATGTATTATAAATGTAGTGTACATTGTAATGTATTATATACATGATGTGCAATATACACATTTACAAGGCCATTCTATCAGTAATCGACAGATTTCTTATCTATTTATCTATAGATAAATGTAAGATAAAGTTAATATGTACATATATAACTTCTCACTTTTGGAGGCTGCTCGATTTCAGGGAGGCGAATCCAGGGGCCGTGATCATCCCTGAGTGGGCGCTGCTGGGGAGCAGGGCTCTCAGAGGTGGGGTCGGAGTTCTGCCGGACGAGCTCCCGGGAGTGTAGTGGGCGGGGTGTGGGGGTGGGGGAGGGGTCCTGGGTGGGGAAGGCGGACATGGTCTTAGTGGGCTGATCACAGAGGGACTGAGAGCGCGGCACTGGAGCAGCATATGGCTTCAAGGGCACTAGGTGGGCCATCTGGAACTACGCATAGGCAGCATAGGAATCGGAGAGCCAGGGGGAAAGGGAGCAGGCCATAAGGGTGGAGGGAAGAGAGCATGATTTTGGTGTTTTGAGAGTAGAGCATGTTCCGGAAAGCAAGCAAAAGGAACCCGGGGTTAAAGTGGAAGGCCAGTGAGGGTTGTTTGTTGTCATTTCATTTTTTTATGGATTGAGGGTTTATTTGGAGAAGGAGGTCAGGAAAGAACAAGAAGGTTCCAGAAGACCCAGAGCAGGGAGCGAAGGAGGAGGAGGATTTCCCCACAGCAAGCAGGAGACAGGGATGAGGGAGGCCCAGGTGATGGAGGGGAAAAAACAGAGAGGAAAGAGAGAAGGATACAGTCACTGAAGGGAAACAGAGAGCAGAATGCAGTGAATGCAGCAAATCTGACAAGAGAAGTGATGGCCACCTACATTCACTCTTCCTGCAAAGCCACTTCAGCCCTTATATAAACATTTTATAGCTGCTCATTTTGCATCCTCTACAGAAAACACACTTAAATATGTGGCAAATGGCATTTTAAGAATATTTTCTGGGCATAATTTCCATAGATTTGTTGAGTCATATTAGAACAAAAATTAAACATAAAATATAAAACGTGCCAAACTTTTGCACAGACATTTTTATGTTTCATTTCATCCCTCAATATGTTAAATTCAGCAAATAAACAGCAATAATGCATTAAAATGTGCAGAAGTGTATTCTATGTAAAGGATGTGCTATCTTACATTCTTTAAAAAAACAAAACAAAACAACAGAACATGTAATTTGACCAGGGGTACCAAACTTTCGCCTATGACTATATATAGTATCGCTGCTGTATAACAACTTTTTATCTTTGAAATGGTGAGTTAACAGAAAAAGGAAATAAATAAATAAATTTAATGTATAATAATATACTGACAATTCAGACCATATTGTGTGTGTATATATATATATATATATATATATATATATATATTTATATATATATTTTCATTTTTATTATTTAAAAACTCAGAAGAAGGAGTTTAAAAGCTTATGAGCCATGTTTGGCCAATATTAAACTAGTCTTACAAATAACAAAGCCATAAGAACGTACAACCACTCAGTAAACCAACTGTTTAGTCCAACAATCTGGATAAATTAAGAATTTCTGCTGTGTACACACATCAGCTCTAGTGCAGTCACACATGCACAGGCATACATCCACATGCAAGCGCACGTTAACACACACCTTGCCCTGGCCGCCCTGGGGCTCGACAGGTCTCTGCATGGGCGGAGTCTGTGCGGCCTGCACTCCTCCTGATTGGCTGACAGAATCAGAGCGTGACTGGATGTTGGTATCAGAGACGGTGGTGCAGATTTTAGGAGAACCCTGCCTGTTCAGTTTACTGCGCTCCTCCACCTGGGAGAGAGAGACAGAGAAAGAAAGACAGATATGGAAGAAAAAGAAATGAAAAAGTAAGATACAGAAAAAAATCAGCAGGAACAGAGGCGGATGAGTGGTCAGAAAAGGTGACCAAATCAGTAATGTGTGATTTTGAATGTGAGAATCTGCAATTAAAGTCAATCTAAAATTAAACTAGACATTTTTTCTTGTTATTTTACGTATCCGGTCATATTAAACATGATGTATCACATATCATTTAAAAGGCAAAAATGACAGACGTGCATTTCTTAGATCTCAGAAATCATTAGACATTCTACGAGGGCCTAAAAGAGCTTAAGAAATATGAGAGAAATATGTGGAGGTATGGAAGAATATGTGTTATGATTTCCGATTCAGCCTGACTCTAAGGCAAGGGTGTCCAGTTCTAGACCTGGATGGCTTTAGTCCAGCACAGTTCACTCAGCAATTAGTTAACACGTTTTGTGTGCTTAAATTTACCCCCCCCATGACCAAAACTGGACACAGCTGATATGTGGTAATCTGCATATGTGCTGATTTGTCTGTGTGTATGGACCTCTCTGGCCCAGGCAGGCTTGTTGTTGTCCAGGTTTTTGCTGTAGTGATAGAGGGGCTTCTTGTCCTGTTGCTGCTGCTGTTGCTGCTGCTGCAGAGAGACAAGATAAGCGTGCTCCTGCTGAAGCTGCCTCTGCAATCTCTCCGACTGTCTCTGCTCCTCCAGCTGCTTCCGCTTGTACTCCTAACAAGCATAACACAAAAAAGGAGAGAAATAAAATAACAGAAACCCCTTATACTGCAGGCTTATTATTCAGAAACTATAATAAATTATCAAGTAGCTAAAATGGAGACATGCAGGAAATATGCTGAAGCATAACCTAGTAAGTCTGAAGCATAACCTTAAACAGTGAATCTTCAATATCGCATGTGTACGCTTATGAAGTTGACGTCTTTGTTATGTGTAGTTATGACAATGAGGACCAGAAGTGTGGACATACACATAGACCCACAGAGGCTCTTTTGCATCAACATGTGTTTTCAGTGATCAGATCACTTTTGGATTTCAGTTGACTGCGTGAAATGCGTAGCATTGTGACGCATTGTGATTGGATTACGATCGGATGACTCAAACCAAATTTAGAGACAGATCTGGACCACTTCCAAAACAAGTTTAAATTGAGTGCATTTTCTACATACGCACACAATTATGTGCCGAGTGCTGATAACCAAGTAAGAGGATAAATAAGGAAAGATTTAGGACACGTGAAGCTGGAGTTCTCACAAAACCAAGAGCCTTCTCGCACTTTGGGCGAATGAAAGCGGCCAAGCAGAGTTTGCTGATTCATATCATTACATGGGAAAAAGGTAAAAGCAAGTACAACAGAAACGATGCACGTGTTGATGTGCTTCTTATGCGGGAAAATAAAACGAGATCCAATCACGCTGGAGACACGTTTCAGTGAAAAGTGTAAATGGGCCAAAGTAAATCCAGACACAATCCAGATATGAAAAATATGTTAATGCAAGGTATAAACGACCTTTTATAGTTTAAGGAGTTACATATATATTAATTATATATATACACATATGAAGGAGGTAAATCTGTGTTCAACAGAAAAAATGTAATAAGACAAATTTGTATTAAACAGCATATATCCAGCTACATGCATACACACCAAAAGACAAACGCACACACCAAAAAGGATAAACAAACAAGTACACATAACCACTGCATAAACCACTGCACACAGATGGGGCGGTGCACACTGTCAAACTTCTGATGAGTCTCATTTCCAAATAAAGGGGCTGCTTACTTTCCCAAAGCAATGAGGCATTCTGCATTCCTTTCCAACACCCTCAGAAATAATACTGGGGTGGTACCCTAAATGGTACATCTCAGTACCTTTAGTCAGGGAACATAATTGTGCCATAATCCATTGAAATGATATCTTCTAAGTTGTATTGTCTCCACACACCCCATCTTGTCTCCAGGCTTTTTATTTTATTGTTCTGTTTCGAGGGTTATAATTAGTTATAATATGGTTATAATAAGGTACAAATATGTACTTTTCACCTGGAAAAACTTATTTAAGGTACACACTTGGATCTTAAAACCACTGCTGTACCTTTAAGGGGACATTTACACTGTTTGTACCTTGATGAATGAAAAATGTACCTGCACAGAATCTTTATTTCTAATAGTGTAGGAAGCTCTAAAACAGGTGGCAGCTACCCACTAGACATAGATCTGGACCTATTCAAGCATGTTTTTTCTTAATTTTTACCATTTTCCCCATTTTAGAACAACGGTAAAGATATCACAACTGTGTGGAATAATGCAGTGATCAAAAAAGATGTTAAGACAAAGAAATGTTGCAATTTTCAAACATTACATCTTTCCTGTGCTATTTTGTCTTACATTAGGCAATCGTTCACTTTCGTTGAATTCCTTCATCACATCTTTATAGGCTAATGTGTTTTGGTGAGACACAAGACCAAAACATCTCAGCAGTAACTAGTAGCTTTCAGGTTATTCTGGGCTTGATTGCCAAACGTACAGCACTTAGGGTCTCTAAACATCGGATCATTTTAGGCAGTTATTTCATGAAAAAAACAAAAAAATATTTAAAATGTTTCTTCTCCAATAAACCATCTGTAATCTTTGGAAAGCTGTGCATGGCTTTCTTAATTATCGACGCGTACTTAGTTCTGTTTTCATTGCTCGACCATTCTGAAGAAAAAAAAACTTAATAAATCATAAAACTCTATGTGATTAATCATAAAAGCGACTCAATTAGTTGATTCATCATAAATTAAAACTCTGATTATAGATTAATTCTAAAACTAAAACTGATTTCTTGATTAATCATCAAGATAAAACCAATAATTCGATTAATCATACAAATCAAACTGATTATTATATTCATCAAAAAACTAAACTTCTGACTGCCTGACTAATCAAAAATAAAACTCAGATTGTCTGATTCATACAAAAAGCTCTGATTACCAAATTAAACATAAAATAATTGGTAGATTTCTCATTTACCAACTTTGTCCTGTGTTCTATAGGTGGGCATCCTATTCTCCAGATTTGTGGTGTAAAACTTATCAGCATTAAAGCACAACTCAGTTCACCTTGATATGAGACGCATCAAATTCGGGTGCAGGACCACATATAGGAGGAGAAATAGATGCAAGGTCAGAAGGGAAAAAGAAAAAAGAGGGAGACAAAGAGGATGAGTGGAGAAGTGTTACCATGAGCAAGGCCTGCTCCTGAAGAAGTTGCTGCTGGAGGATTTCTAACTGCCTCTGCTCTTCCTCCAACTTATGCCTTATAAACTCCTACAGACAGACAGACATATAGACAGAGAGACAGAGAGAGAGAGAGACACAGTGAGAGAGAGAGAGACATAGATAAAAAGCAAGGGATAAGAAAGAAGCAAAAGAGATGAGAATGGACTCAAAAGGGGAAAGAAAGGAAAGATATAAGAACTCTACAGACTGTAACGGTGTGCTGTGGTGATGTTTTTACAGAGGCACGTAAGTGTGAAGGAAGGAGGTGTTCTGAAACGTTTCCCTCAATCTACATAGCTTGAAGGAGGGAAATATGCAAGATCTCATCAGCATGTTTGCACTCACAAATTGTGTGTATATGGATTAAAGGACTCCATAGTTCTCATACCCTGAAATCAGTTTAGTTTAACTACCAGCTCTGCAGACTGCAAAGAGGCTAAAGCAGTGATATTTAGAGTTAGGCTTTATGTTAAAATGTTTACTGAAACAATTTCTGAAAACCTGGAGCATACAAATTTACAATATATTATCTGAATGTCTGCTACAGGCATCAGATATTTGTGTGCAGACTGCAAATGAGTAATACTAGTTAGATTAGATCGATGTTAACTTAACATGGACAAAAGTAACTGGACTGCTAACAGAAATTAGCATTACTAATAGAGGAAATTAATCAAATGCTACTTATACTGTACTGACATCCACATTAAGCATTGTTATATGATAATATGCGTGGTTGATATGACATGCGTTTATGAGATTAAACAATTAAAAAGGTCAAAAAATGACTGATCTATCCCCTGCTTTATTTTAAGTGTCTCTGCGGCACCTCCAGTCCTAATGCAAATAGGCCTGTATGACAACTATACATATAAAACTTTGTATCTCCAAAATCATATCTTTAAAAGTTGGGGAAAAAAGTTCTTAACTTTGAATGGAGGTTAATGAAACAAGATTTTTTTTCTGGACCATTTCTAGTCCTCCACACATCATGAAATGTTCCCACAGTGTAAAGAACAGCTGGCATTTTCAAATTCTGTGTTAAAAAATAAATACAAATTACAAATGGAGTTTTGAATTGAAACAAATGTTCTGACAGCGACATAATTATTTTACTGCACATATTGTAGAGATATAACCACCTATAGAGCAACTGCTATTTGAAAAAGACACTGAGAAAATAGTTTGTTTAGCTTTAAACAAGTAACATTTTTAAAAATATAATATTGTGATAATGCCATGAACAGGAGAAGCAAGAAAGGAGAAACAAAGTAGCCAAAAGTGGCGTGTCTGTGTGTCTGTGTAAAGGTCTTGTGTATGAGTGTGTGTAAATATAGCAGGAATGTGCAAAAACAGGTGTACTGCATTGAGTGAGAGTGTGTGCGAGTGCAAAACTGTTTATAAGCGTGTAAGGTCTGTGTGTGTAAGCGTGTAATGCGTGTGTGTCCTAGCAGGCGTGTGTCTTTTGCTGTAAAGAAAAGCTAGGCTTGATAATTCATGCTGATTGGTCTTTTGTGTTTCTGTCACTTTGAATTCTACTGAATGTGGGGCCGCACACCCACACGCGCACACACATTCAGAACTGCGTCGAGAGCCTGCTGCCATGGCAACCACTTCACAGGCATGCCAGGGCCGTAGTGGGTGTATGGATCACCCACACTGCGCTGTGATTGGCTGAGTCACACTGCTCCATGAGCGGCGATTGGCTGACCTGCTCTCTCTCTGCCATCCTCCGGTCCTCCTCTCGCCTCATGTCGTCGAGTCGTCGGTGAGGAGCCTTCTCCTGCTGCTGCCGCACCATCTCTCTCTCCTTCCTCTGTTGCTGAGCGTGAGAGCGAGGGAGAAAGAGAGAGACAGAGAAAGGGAGGGGAGAGGGGGGGGAGAGCGTGAGTCACTTTAACATATCTAGCCGAAATAATAAGTGGCTTCCTGTTGCTAAAAATCATCCAGTGATTTTGAGAGGGGGGGGAAGTTATGGAACGAGAAAAAGAGAAAGAAAGAGAGAGGGAGAGAGAGAGAGAGATGGGGGCAGGTGAGGGGGGACTGATGAGTCACATCTCTGCAGTAGTGGATCTCTCCCAGATGTGTCTGAATAAACCCATCAATATCTCAGTGCAGTTTCTACCTGTTACTTCCTAATCACTGTGATTATAAACAGGCGAATTATATGTGGTACAAAAAGCTGATTCATTTTCTGAATTGTGTATAGTAACATATGTAGTCAGGTCAGTAATTGTATACCAACAAAGTGCACCTATATATTTAGATATTTATACTACACATTGTATTACACACACACACACACACACACACACACACACACACACACACACACGCATACATACATACATACATACATACATACACACATCTATATATAGATAGATAAATAGATAGATAGATGTTTTCCTGACATCATCCAAAGCAGAGTGCTTTACACCACTCCAGCCAACACGGGGAATTGCGCATAGTGTTTAGGCCTATGTGCCGCTGCTTGGCCATGGAAACCTTTTTTTATTAAGTTCCTGGTGCACAGTTATTGTGCTGATTTTGCTTGCAGAGGCATTTTTGAACTGTAGTGAGTGATGCGACAGAGGACAGGAGATTTACTGCTTCATGGTTGAGCTGTTGTTGCTCATAGACACTCCAATTTCACAATAACAACACTTACAGTTGACAGTCGGCCAAGTTTAAAGGTTCAAGCTCTTCAGTACGACCCATTGTACTGCCAGTGTTTGCCTGTGTTGCTTAATTTCATACACCTATTGCGTCCCTTATTCATCCAAGCTGTGTACGGTCAAATCTGAGTGTAAAATGAGTACATGCAAGCTCAAACTCATGTCTGGTAGACATGCGTAGAAATTTCAACATATTTACACAGCCTGAAAAATGCCTAATTTACAGGTAAATAACCAACATCACATCAAAAATATCCGCAATAACGAATGCTGTGTAAACATTCCAAATAAAAGCTTTTGCTTTATACTGATACAGTAAATAACTGCATCCCTAAATATACAATACTAGCTTACCTAGTACAGTAGAAGACATCTTATACACTGCAATATTATCAATATCAACAAGTAGCAAATAAAAATAATCATACTACACAACCACATCACTGTAGCATCTGAAACACAGGCTACATTTTGTTATATATATGTGTGTCTGTGTGTGTGTGATAAACACTATTACTACATTATGATTAATAAAAAAATGGTTTCTATTATACAAATGGATTGTAACTCATTTTATTAGGTACACACACACAGGTACATATCAGCATCTCAAAGTAAATCACAGTATCTATTGTTTCCATCTTTATAACTACTCAAGACTCACTTATCTGACAGTTTTAGACATTCTCACTGTGGTGCAGGGCTGGGTACTAGAATAATACAGCTCATCTGTTGCAATACAAAATTGAGCTCATCAGTGATTTTGAATACTGTTATATAACAGATTGACACCAAATTGCATCATACACTCTAAAGCCTGCATGAGTGTATCAGCCACGTCTTAGCTTTGTTAGCCATTTGCCGGAGACTGAAGAGAACAGCTTAAGTCACAAATCCATCGGTAAACTATATGGTTATTTTCATGCCTTAGATGTATCGCAAGCTAAAACTAAAGATGCACAGCGAGTGCTGCGATTGGTTTGAAGGAGTACTTAAACAAAAGTTAAAAAATAAAGATCTTCTTTAGTTTTGGAAAAACAAGGAAGCACCTTCGGTAAATATCTTCCTAAATTGGCATACCTACTGCATTTAGAGGAATAGGATTCACATTTAAATACTTTTAGAAAATATGGCATCCTCTATTTGGAGGATATTATATTAAATGTACAAAAAGATTCACTCAAAACAGATAACAGGTAGGGTGGAAGAGGAGTCCACCTGTTCTTCTGAGGCAGATGCTGCTTGCGACAATGACCCCCGTACCCATTCACTCCTGTACAACCGTACAAAGGCGGAGATAAATATAACGGCTAATGACGCTTATTAAATTACAGACTCACAGCTTCTCCTTTTGTTGTGGTCAATTACTGGACAGCCCTCTGCTATGAGCTCTCTCTCTCTCTCTGTCTCTCTCTCTCTGTGACAAAAACACTTCTCATCTGCTTTGTTCTTCCACCACACAGCAAATATCAGAAATAGCTCAAATAAATTCAGCTCCAATCAACTCCAAGATTTAAAAAGCCCTGAAACCCTTGAATACAATCAGCTCAAATTGGCTCTTCATTTTAGAACATCTGAAATGTCTCCATGAAATCAAAACCATTTTCAACGGAGCCTGTAAAGCCAATTTCTTTTACATTTAATTTACTGGAGGTTTTTATTCTAGGGATGGGGAATATGATATTTATCATTATTGTCATAAATTACATCATTTTTCTGAGCATCCTCTGGTTCCTGCATTAAGATCTTGATCTTACCTATTGCCCAGTGCCCCTGGCCACATTTTACATTTTGGCCACTAAAACTGCAGAGTCTGTCGCCTGAGTGGCCACCTTCCTTAGAGATTATTTCTTCCCCTATTAACAAATCTGCTGGTTGGACACTGGACTAAATCCATCACGATGTTGGTGGAATTTGTTAACTGTAACCACCACTAACTTGTTGTTGTGGTGACCCTAATGGTTCCCCCACAAGTTGGTTTGTCTGGCATCAAAGATGCTGTTGGCTAAAGTTTGCTAACATGACTCTATAAAATAAGGTCTTAAATAGTAGTAGGGTGTTAAATAAGTTGCCATTATACTGAGAAGCTATCACTGCAATAGCTAAACACCTAAGTACCAAATGACATCACTTGGATCAGATGACGTCAGACTAGGGTGGACCAGATTGGCAAAGTGAACCACCGCAGTCCCTTCAGCACAGTTCTTCTTAGAGTAAAGTCTTTAATAACCTGACTGTTTTTTGCCATGGAAGCTTGCTTGGTAGTGATAGATACAATATATACATGTATATAAAACACAAACATGTTTCTATCATTGTGGTTATAAATTGAGACTGTGTGGCCAGAGCCTATTTTTTACATATGTAGTTTACAAGAGAACCAATCAAAACACCACATACACATTTTATTGCCCATTACAACACAGAACACAATCTTGCCTCATACCCTGCCCATTAAAAGTTTAAGGACAACCCTTTGGCTTTTAAAATGGAGAGTAATGATTGATTTTTACTGTTTCTTTCCCATTAAGACAGTGCACTGTTTTTGTTAACATAAAAAAAGCTATTCACTAACCCTTCAGACCTAATTATACTTCAACACTCAGCTTCAGGGTTATCAAGGCATCTCTCTTGGTTTGAAAAGCAAATTTACCTAAATAATTACTTGACTGTTTTCTTTTCCAAACTACCGTTAAGAGGACAAATTGAAACTCAAAGATGGTTTCAACACCTGAAACGATCGAACACTGATAAATGTTGACATCACAACCAGGGTATTATTATTACCAAATTAGGGCTTTTGTCTGTTGTTCCTTCAGTTTTTGCAAAGAAAAAGGGGTAAGAACTAAACAGCTTTCTCTTTAATATGTTACAGTATGGCAAAGTGGCAAAGCAAACATCCTCACTTGCATTAAGAAAACATTTTGAAAAGCTAGGTGTCCCAAAACTTTGGGCAGGCAGTGTATTTCCCAAGCAGCATAAAGGCTACACATACTCTCTCCAAGTTCATACGCTCACACACTTCAAGGACCTTCTCAATCGTGAAATTCTTCAAATGCCATTCTCCTCTGAGCGTACTATTAATAAAGACTGGCTCGTTCCAGACTACAAGGCATTCTCTATTCACACAGGGCACCAGTGAACGCAGTAACCCAGCAGAAAGTACCTAAAAAGCCTGGCTGCTTGGACACACCTGTTTCTGACTCACTCTTCATATTTACATAGGAATGTTGTGTTTATCTTTCCTTTTTCGATTCCTTCATTAAACAGATCTCTCCCACATTAAACACGTTCACATGACATTCTAAACCCTCATGTGATCCAGACATTAGCAACCTATGGCATGTACACATTCTGAGACACATGGAGGTGTGAGAAAACACTCATTTATAGGGTTTATAAACTGCCTAAGTTGTTATACAATGTTTTGCGCCTTTCTTATTGGAACAAAAAAGCACAGACATCTCTGTGTGTGTGTGTAAAACATGAAAGTCGATCCAGCACATAATTTAATGGACTGGTATGGTCTATATTAAGCCTAATCACAATCTGATTCGTGGGTAAAGTCTTAAGGAAACCCAGAGTAAAGTGTTAAACATGTTTGTATGATAATAAAACACAGTGCTACATTAAACATGTAGGAAAGTTTGGACAAAAAAAAATAAAAAAATTGTACTAAGAAACTTTCTCTTCTTAAAGAAGGTTCTTATTCACTTTACTGCTGAAGGTGCATCCAGGAATGCTGCCACGGCTGACTGAACGAACAAACAAATAAACCAACGGAGATGTGAATCGGTCAATGAACAAATAAACAAATGAAGAGACGGACAGACGAACTAGCGCTCGAATAAATGGACAGAAGAACTGACGAAAAGACAGATGATAGACTGATGAGCTAGCTTGACAGCTCAGTTACACCTGTTAGGTTAGCTTTCCTTAGCTGTTAGCTCTTTTTTCCTCAGTAGGTTTTTCTGACTAACACAAAGAAACCATAAGTGGCCGCAGTTTTGTAAAAGCTGTGTGGGCGAGTCAACCCACATCAGCCTTTTGATTGGTGTGGGTACTGCTTACATAAATCTGACCCAAGATTATGAGTGCCCAGTTTAAACTGAAAGAGGAAAATTTGGGAAATCAATCAGCCACTTAGAAGACACAGTTACCCACAGGTCACTTTCTATATTTATAGAGTGTACACAGCAGAGCAGGGTTAACCATATTCTACTCCAGTGGTCATCAACTTTACTCCTGGAGATTTACCTTTCTGCAGAATTCAGCTGACATATCTGATCAAACTAGCTACACGGATTGATGATTTGAGTAAGATATATTCAGTCAGGGTTGCTAGGAATTGCTGTCCACTGGGCTACGCTGGGCATATCAGACCAGGGGTGGGGCGCCAGATTCCTGAACAGTTTGGTGTTTTTTTGCTCAAACACACCTGACTCGACTCAGCAGCTAATTGCCAGGTTTGATGTGTCAGAGCAGGGGAAATAAATCAAAAACTCTACAGGACTCCAGCCTTCAGTTCACCACCTCTGCATTAGAGCAACTTGAAACACAAAAGTAGCGTATTCAAGACACAATAGCACAAGTCATTTATGGCTGTTCACCAGAACAAAGTCTGGATTTAGAGTGTGGTATTAGATTCACACTAAAAATGAAGTGATTTTACTGTAGCATTTAAACTAACTGGCAGCTCTGAAGATAAAATGGATTGGTTTTACGATCTTTAATGTAGCTGAAGTGTGTACTGTTTGGCTGTATTACCTATAACAATGCAAAAAGCTTATCAGGAACCTGCAGATTCTGTCTTAAAGCTCTCAGATTGGGGGTGACTGGATCGGTACATTCCCATAAGAAACATGCAAAACATAATGTATAAAAAAATGTATAGTATATAAGTTTATAATCAAAAGTTTTAAACCATCAGTTTAAGCTGGTGCAAAAACAGGCTAACAAATACAACTGCACGCAAAATTCTGAACCCCCCAGTCAGAATAAGTTATGCTAATTTTCCAGTGGGAACATAACTATGGAATTTCTCTGTATATGTCAGTGCACAATTTACATTTATTTGCTGAGTTTAATATAATGAAAAAAACTACAATATAAAATGTACCATAACTTTTGCACAGGCTACATTTTAGGCTTTATTTTATCCAATATGTTAAATTCAGCAAATAAACAGCTCTTGTGTATTGAAATTGTGTGTTCTCAGTTGTTGATTTTTTTGAGAAAAAAAACAGCACCAAAAAAATAATCTGACCAGGTGCTTCCAAACTTTTGCATACAACTATATGGGGATGATGGTGTAAGCATTGTTTTTCTCATGCTGACTCTGATTCCACAATAACAGAGCCACTGCTGGCATTCCAGACTCAGGTGAAAGTACAATTTCACATGCTTTCCCACATCCTTATCATCGGCAGAGGGATTTGTGTGCTTTACCAAAGTTTGGAGGCAAAACAGCATGCTCTGGAATTTGTGTGGACGCGTGTGTGTGTTTGTGTGTGTGTGTGTGTGTGTTTTGGGGGTGTGTTATAGGCTTGAGATCGTGTGAAATGACCTGAAACTTGTAGACTAGCCTTGTTTTTGTTATGGATGGGTAGTTCTTGCTATGAAAAACTATACTTTAACAGCCTCTTGTCAAAATGACAAAAAGGCTAAAGCTTACTGTGTCAAGTTAGCCTACAGGCTGCTGTGATTGTAACCTATTATTGTTTCCAGGCTATTCGACTGGGCTGCTTTTAAGGGGTCATATCCTACACGTCATGTGTTTTATTATTTTTATTTTTTTTAACTTGAGGTCCACCCAGGATAACTGAGTACTAAATTATTTTGTTTTTATATAACCATTTTCCATCCTCAGCTTACCCTTACAATTAAACAGGTTGTTTCAAATCACTCTGGTATAACACAATAACAAACACCTTAAACCAATGGTTTAAAGTCATAAACACCTTAAACCATTAATAAGCAGTTATAAACACTTTCAACATGTTAATAAAAAGAGCAACAGTAAGCTGTTATATCTGCTGGATGTGAATATCTGATGAAGCTTGCTGATTGAGGGAAAAGGCAAAATAATATAAGTAAATGTATAAATACAATATCTGAGGTTTAACAGTAGAGATAAATGTTAGCTTGTGGCAAGGAACAGGTCTCTTTGTTGCTGCTTATTACTGATTAAGAGCTTATGAGCTAACTAATAACCATCAATAAACCTTTTTAAGGGTAGTCTTACTATAAAGTGGAACTAGTTGTTTTATTACAATGCTTTTAAGACTGATATGTTAATGTCTGTTTTTATTGACTGACAGCACTGATGTTTTCTGATCTTCAAATCGTCTAATGTAAAAGCTTATCTGGATGCCATGGTACATCAGCTCAAGGCTAGTGCGTTACCTCTTCTAGTCTGCGTCTCTGCTCCTTCTGCTCCTCGATGCGTTTCTGTCTGTCATGCAGTAACTGACGTTTGTGCTCCTCAGGGTCCCGTCGCTGTGCGGCCAGCTGTGCCTGCTGCCTCTTCAGAGCCTCCGAACGCTCCTTATTCTCCTGCTGCAGCCTCAGGAAGTCCCGCCTCAGAGTGGACTCACCTGGGACGTTCAAGATAGAACTAAAGACAACGAGAGAGACAGAGAGACTCAGAACAGAATTACTTTGAACTACATTAGTTTGCAATAAACAAACAATGCACTGGTTACATTGGTGTTTCAATCATGTGACACAGTTAAAGACTGACATTATTTTGATCAAAACAACTGACTTTTGTTGGATTATATGAACACTTTGATTCATCAAAACAGCCATATAAGCACTCATCTAAAACTGTGAATGGTTAGGATGGTCAAAGGACACAGCAAATACACTGTGATTGGTTAAAGGGTTTATATGCATGTTGCAGTCTTCTGTGACACCGGTATTGCAAAGTCCAAATATCATGATGATGGTTATATAGGTGTCCAGCCCTAATCTACACAGAGAAATGTGATGTATACATTATAGATATTGTAGGGGCAGAGCTGGGTTCAGTAACAGAGGTACAAAAATCTCTGTGGTAGGGTTATGTAGAGTCATGTACAGTTATGCAGAGATACATGAAGAACATGAAAATCAGCCAAAATGCTTGGAAGGAATGAATATCTGTACTACTATCTGTTTAAGAAACTGTGTTTTGCCCTTTCTGTCTGTGTATATTCGTGTTTTTATTAGTGCACATCTACGCTTGTTTACATCCCTGTAGAAGTGTAGTATTACCTGGACTCTCTCTCGTCCCCTCTGTTCTCATCTTCTTCATCACTGCCACTATACTCATACTCTGTTTCCTCTGAGAGAGAGAAAGAATATGAGTCAGTATAGATCAATGTTACACAAAGAAACCGATCATCTGACTCAAACGGCTGAAAAACCCCAACGTGCTGTACAGTGAATACTTTAACTTCTTAAACTGCAGGCTTATCATTCAGTAACTACTATATTCTTTTACAAAGTTTCATTTATTTTTTACTCACACTTTCATTTTGCTATCTTAATGAGAAATAACCACAATACATAAATATACATTGCGAAAGATTTTGTATAGTAAACTAGAAAAAAAGCCTTTTGCTTTCTTTGTTTTTCAACTTCTATTCAGACTTAAAATTAGGAAATGCATACAAACATTATTGATAGTTACTGATATCGAATTATAAGTAAAAATATAACTTCTGTATAACCTATATATTGCCAAAAAATTTGACCCAAACACAAACGGAATTGACATTAAGGTCTTGTATATGTACACTAAAAGTTGAACAACCTATTGTTGGGCACTCCTTGACAAGCTGGTAAGAACTGAACTTTTTTTTTCCAGACAGTAGAGGCCACTCCTTACAGTTACACAATAAAAGTAAAAGGGTTAGCAAAAGGGATGCATCTAATTTTCACCCAGTGAAGATGGCAAAAAGAGACACTTTTGGCCAGAAAAAAAGCCAAAAAATGTGTCCTCTATGTCCTTCTGCATTCAAAAAGAGCCTGCAGCACACTGAAGAAGAAGCACTAAGAAGGTTCTTCTGTAACTCTCATGCAAGGTTTTACTGAAAGCACTTACGTTTCAATAATAAAAGTGTTTTAATACTTTGTAGTTTTTCAAAGCTAACAAAAATACTAATGAAATCATTTATGTGCATCACTAATGCTTTCCTATAAGCACACTGAAAATTATAAGTAATTATATATTGCAAATATACATGTCTGTATAGGTGTGTGTGTGTGTGTGTGTGTGTGTGTGTGTGTGTGTGTGTGTGTGTGTGTGTGTCTTCAAGCAGTATCTCATTCAGTGAGAAGCTTAAGTTGTGCTGGAGGCTCTAATTACACTACTGCACATCTGATATGAGCCACGTTGATAAAGCAAGCTCTGAATAGTATCTGATTGGCTGCAGGACAGGGGAACCTCTCCCTGATCTCAAGAGGTAAACAAACTGGAATTAAACTGAAACTAGCAGAGAGTCAGGCAGGGTAATGCAGTGACATATGCAATTAACTTAAAGGAACAGTTTGGTGAAAAGAGAGAGAGAAAAAAAGGTGAATACATGTTTGGTATCTGAAGTTCCCTTTTTTAGTTTTGCACTGGAGCCATGAGGCTAATGGAGCTAAGAAGTCATCCTTATTTATATATACTTATACCCACCAATCAATCATTAGCTTAATGCTTAAAGCTTAACTGCTTTCCAAAATCAATCCACACTCTTCTGAGACTGTTTAGAGTAAAAATATATGTTTTGACTAACTGACTATATTTTAGGTAAGTGAGGGAGAACTGTGTAACCTTATTTATTTATTTATTTATTTTTAACCAATCTTAAGTTTATCCACTAAGTTAAAAAAAAAAGAGCGACTAAACAGGAAAGAGTTTCTAAGCTTTCTTATACATTCCTCAATTTGATAGAGACAGTGAATATCACATGGCCAAACACAGCAGGCCCCTCACCCTTCTCTCCTCGTTTCTTGCGTGTGCGGTCGATGTGGTCCTTGAGCTGGATGCGGACCTGTCGCTCTGTGGGTTGGTCCCGGATGAACGAGTGCTTCAGCAGCTGCTCTGTGGACGGACGACTTGGGTAGGTCTTCACCAGGCAGCCCTCAATGAAGTCTATGAACTTTTTAGACCTGAGAGAAAGAGAGGAAGTCTTTCAAAAATATTTTACAATTAAGCCAATGTGCCCGCAAACCAACGTAATCTAATATACTGACATGTAGTTTAACCAAAGAAGATTCTCCAAAGTACTGCAATACAGCTGTGCTGTTGACTTCTGAAATCATATCATTATTCTGTAGTTGGCTTCATGACCATATTAGGAACTCCCGATCTAAACTGGTTTCCTCTATGGGGAAAAAACATCAGTTTTCAAAAACAGCCACTACCATGCCCCACCCTAAACAAAAAGGTTTTAAACTAGATACACAAGGACATTTTCCTCCAAATGTCACTGGATCCTCTGAATTACATGGTCGTTAATGAGTTCAAGTACTAATATCAATATATACAGGGTAACACTGTGCATTCAACTGACATCATTAGATAACCTCAGTAAAATACCAGGACAAACAACCTTTATTAAATACTGTAGTTAAGCTGCTTTGGCAACAGTACCCTATAGTTTGAGTAGCTGGAGTTGTTATACAATAGTGCTGAGCTACACCATCGTAACATAATTTCAATGTGGAGTGTATTGTAGCACGAATGTAGCATTTGTCATATTTTGAGTCTTTAAATGACCTTGTAATTCAGATGATCCAGTGAGATTCGGGGGAAAAATGTAAACAGGACAAAACTTAATGGCTTCGGAATATTTTTGTTTACTACAGGGCACATCTTTCAAAAATGCCATTCAGTTTACCCATAAAGAAAAAGACTCAGAGTTCCCAAGATACCGACTATACAATGATCCACAACTTCAAAGGTCTATACTCTACACTTCAGTGTATTTTTGGGGAAAAATCCTGCACTTTTTGTTGATAGCAGTGTGTTAAACTGAGCAGTTTTTAATTATTGGCAAACTCCTACTTTAAAACACCTGATTCAGTTTATCAAGCATTTAGGAGCATCAAATAGGGGAATCAGATGGTATTCATACAACATTACTACTAGTAATGAAAACATTCTTTTTTTTTAAGTTAGTGTTGCAAACTTGTGTCCTGTACTGAATGTTCTCACGTTTGACAAGTGAAAGGACAGAACAGGAAGTCCCAACAGACGAATTAATTCATTACAATGTGGGCCCAACAAGATGACAAAGTTTATTCAGAAAGTTGGACACCAGTGTAAAAGACTTCATGAGGCCGAGCTGCATCGAAGAGCAGCTGTATGCAAATTCAAATCATGATCGTCATGTAAAATCCAGTTAAATAAACATTCCATCTCCATTTCTGAAAAAGATAAACAGTCATTCCAGGACCAGGCTGGAATCAACAGGAGCCTAGTTCTCCGTCCAAAACGACTCTGAATGGCCAGTGGTAGACTTTCACTTTTCCCTAAAATACTGATCTTATCGAACACCAAACAAGACCAATGTTTAAAACTAAATACAGTGTGACAGACATTGCCAAGAAAGGACAGAACGGGAAAAGGAAGACATAGAGAGAGAGAGAACATTGGCAGGGAGCTTGTCTTATGTAAGCCAACACCAAAATAACAGAAGCAGCACTGGGCTGATGTGAGTGGAAAGATAATCTATAAACAGAGAAGAGAAGAGAAGAGAAGAGAAGAGAAGAGAAGAGAAGAGAAAGACACAAGAAGAAAAGAACACATGAGAAGAGAAAAAGACGCAAGAAGAGAATAGAAGAGAAAAAGGCACAAGAAGAGAATAGGAAAGAAGAGAAGAAAGAGAAAAAGACAAGTAGAGAAGAAAAGAAAAACTGAGACAAGAGGACAGAAGAGAGAGAAAAAAGAAGAAAAGAGGAAAGAGAAAAAGAGACGTATATATGGCCAAATGCATATAAAGAGACGGAAGCCTCAGAGGCTAAAACAGGCTGTTCCTAAAATAAAAGGTGAGAATAGGCAGTCCTCACCATTTCTTGGACTTGAGCTTGGGAGGAGGGTTCCGAGGTATGAGAAACAGAGCTCTCATAGGGTGCATGTCACACAGTGCTGTGTGTGAGAGAGAGAGAGAGAGAGAGAGAGAGAGAGAGAGAGAGAGAGAGAGAGAGAGAGAGAGAGATATTTAGGCTCATAACATCACTAGAATACACTCCCATGTTAAATGAACAGCTTTTCTTTACATTTACACCAGAGCTACGAGGCTAATGTAGCTAACATATAATGGAAGATAACACACAACCTCTTAGCAATGTGTAAACTGCATACCTTAGTCATTACACACTTGCCTCGAAAATGTAGAGATGCGCAGCAATCTTAAATAGACTTACTTTATGTGGTTTCTGACACTGTATGACAGGCTGTTGTCTACTAAAATTCAGCCTTCACAATGGTTGCTAATGTTAGCTTTGCAACAATTTTAACCATTTGCTTGTATTACTAGTTAGCTACAGTAGCCTCATAGCTTTTGTGCAAAAGTAAAGAACATGTCTTGAATATACATGAGACAGGGATAAAATCAGTTTTAATACTAATATTCTCTCATTGTAAGGCGTCACTCAAACTTCTGACAAAGTTTCTTTGTTTTTCAAGTTATGATGACCAAAAAAAAAAACTAGATAGGATTACAAAGAAAATACTGTGTTTTTAATGTATAAATGACTGTCTGGAAGTGGGCGAGAAACTTCAACCACCCAGAACACAAAATGTAATAAAACTAATAAACAAACAACAATTCGGAGCAATTCTAAACACCACACTTAAAACTGAAGCCAAATAAAACCTCTTAAAACTAGCTTAAACTAATCTGAAATTGAAAATATATAATATATAAAAATATAAACTAAACAAAAATAAAAACGAAAAATGTCCAAACTGTAATAACCCTGGTTTGTACCCACATCTGCAGACTAACACTCTCTTATGATGTGCATATGTAGAGTGCAATGTAAAGCGTCTGGGGGGGGGTAGGTGAAAATAAAAGAGCACAGCAAGCTTAATAATCTAGTCTGAAAGGGCCAGTAAAGAACACTGCCCTAAATCAGCGCTCCGAGAGGGTTACCGAGGACGGCCACATAACGAACGCTGCGAGCATCAGAGAGGGTGAGACGGGGAGAGAAAGTGACTAATGGTGGAGTTGCATAAGCGCCGACAGTGGCACACTGACCAGCACACCCGCCTCCGCACACTCTCCTACCGCAGATCCAAAACACAGCTCTATTTCAACACCCTACGGTTACTCTACATGCAGCGCATACACTGAAAGTTGGCCAACTATAAAGGCTGCACGATCTAGACAAAATACTAGTACAATGATTACAGTTCTACATACTGTGATAGGAATACGCCTTGTAATATATTAACACGGTTAAAAACAGAGCTGCATTATTTAGACCAGAAGAGTTAAATCAGATTACAAGCAAGACTAGGTATCAAAACTCTATACTTTTATGGTACTGAGATAATTGCTTCAACACTACAGAGAATCAAAAGTACATGCTTTAAATATGTTATTACTGAAATTCTACATAGTGCTTCTTTGTTTACTGTTGTAGTCCATATACAGTTATATGCAAAAGAACAAATCAACAAATGTTTTATTGATTTTCTAAGTGAAAATAAGTTAAAACACCCTCTACAGCCCATGTGTCAAACATAAACAGATCAGGACCGCAACACAATCCTTTCTGGCCCACAAAAGTGTTTTAAATTTTCTATTAGCCTGTTTCACAATGCACTGCACTACGGTACCCAGCATGCACTGCAACGTAATGTGCGCTCTGACTCTTCTACCCCATCAACAGTCTATGGGACAGTTGTTACACCTCAGTTCTACACAACTCTACACAGTCCCACACCATTCATGTCACCAAACACACTAACTGCATTTCAGCTGCAGTTCAACCAAACAAACACTTAACATCAGCTCAGCTGCTCAGAAATTGACCTCACATTTTAATGAACTTGCAGCAAGCAAATAGGTAGTTTTGAAACACTGAGCCCCAGGGGACATTTAAATTTTGAATTTTTCAAGTATTCATATAATATTTCAAGGTCTACTACAAGTGCCTATATTTTACCGCTGGAGTTTTTGTGTACTTTGAATAAACAGTGGCCAGTTGGGTTTATAGCACAACAATAATTAAAAATCAAATCCAAACATTTTTTTCTGCAATTTTTAGTGCACAATTTCTATTTATTTGCTGAGTTTGACACGACTGGGGAAAAAACAAACACTCACAAAACACAAAAACAAACACTCACAAAACACAAAAATATAAAAGAAATATTACTAAGCAGAGGGCTTATGCTTTCTGCAATAACTATGTTACAAACAATACATCATGCAGTCCTATCACCTACTACTTTACAACTAGAAATCACATTGAAAGAAAAATGCAAGGTCAAGTGTTTTAAAGAGACTTCTAAACTGACACGACTTCAGCCCAGAGCAGCACTCCAGTCTACTGGCAAAAACAAATTCAATGCTGCATAGCAATTGTCTGGGCCTGAAGGTCCTAATACCGGACAAAAACAACTGTTTTAAGAGAGATTTTGCTTGGACACCATGTACTCAACAAACATATTCGTATTGTCTCTGCTGCAGCACACCTGGCTAAGCTCATAAATGACTTGTTAATGAATAGCTGAGTTGAATCAGGTGGGCTTGAGCGGGGAAAGCACAGAAATGTGCACTGCACTGGGACTGAAAAACGCTGTTCTAAGGTAAATCTGGGTTCTATTAAGTCAGTATACCAGAGCTCCTCTCCCTGCACTGCCATTAAAACATGACAGCACTACAAAATAACACTGGAACTAGAAATTAGATCCCTGGCTTGAAGCTCCATTTACAAAGCTGCACTAAAGCCTAATGGTGGGCATAGAGAACTATATTAACTGATGGCCTACTGTTCCAAATTATGCAACGTTGAAGTATGCGAGTGTATGTGTGTGTATCTTACGGGGTGCTCCTTCTGCCATCTCTATAGCTGTGATTCCCAGAGACCAGATGTCACTCTGTGGAGGGAGAGAAAAAACACGTCAGCTCATTAAAACCTACAGGAATAACATGCACTGACAATTATACATTAACACATGTGCACAAATACCAAAGCAAAAATGAAAATCAGGGCCGTCCTGATCTGATCCAGTGGATCGCAGCCATATTTTAATTAGAGATGGTGACATCCGATATTTTTCATGCACGTATAGACTTTGATGCATAAACATTTATAAAACTTCAGCATTCTGGACAATAAAACAGCATTTAGCCCAGCATCAACTCAGTGTTCTGCTTTTCAGGAGTACAATAAATAAATCATGAAATATCAGTTTGAAATATCAGTTGACATCTGCCACGAGACGATTACTTTTTTGAGCAATTATCTGGTGATACAGGTATGATTCTGATATTAATGGACTGGCTGTAAATCCTATCTACCTCAGATATGTATTAGATGCACCACAAACCAATATTAACCACAATAATATATGGTAATTTAAAGAAAAATGCAAACACACAAAACACATCAGGGCAGAATGTCACAGTATGTGCATACCACAAATGTAACTTTACTGTAGTATGAACTGGTAGCCTGTTATCTAACTTTTGTGCCTGCATTGCCTTTGAAAACAGACCAATATCAGACAATACTCAACATTAAAAAAATTGTCCCCAGGGCAAAAACTGGATTGTTGTTCAGTCTCTGTGTGTGTTGTTCACACAGACACTACTTACCCTGTAGTCATAGGTGGAGTCTGGGTTTTCATCACAGGCGATGACCTCAGGAGCCATCCAGTACGGAGTTCCAATGAAGGTGTTCCTCCTCCCCACAGTCCGGTCCAACTGAGCACTCACTCCAAAATCAACTAGAGAGAGAGAGAGAGAGAGAGAGAGAGAGAGAGAGAGAGAGAGAGAGAGAGAAAAAAGAAAGAAAGAAAGAGAGAAGGAAAGAAAACATATTTTAGACAGAAAGAGGCAGAGAAAGAAAGCAAGAAGGCATAAATGCAAGAAAGAAAGAAAGAAAGAAAGAGAAAATGAGAGAAAAAGAAAATAAGAGAAAAGGATGGAGAAAAAGAATGCAAAAAACGGCAAAAAGGAGAGAAAGAAATAAAGATGCAAAGAGGAAGAGTAACACAGAGAGAGAGTGTGAGGGAGAAAGAGAAGACAAAAAGAGAGATAGAAGTATATTTTAGAGAGAGAGGGCAAAGCAGAGAGAGAGAGAGAGAGAGAGAGAGAGAGGGAGAGAGAGAGAGAGAGAGAGAGAGAGAGAGAGAGAGAGAGAGAGAGAATGTAACAAAAAAAAAGTCAAAGACAGAGCAACAGTGAGAGATCAAGAAAGAGTGAAAGTATATATCAGGGTTGAGTGTCAGTGTGTCTATATCAGACCGGGGAACGCCTGCAGGAGGCTGCTGTACTTTGCTCTAATTGTTAGATTAAATGTTGAATCAGTTGAACCAGAGCACACGCTAATAACAAGGTCACGCCAATCAAACTGATGCTACGGGCTGAGAAACAGTGCACGCACACACACACACTCCGCTGATCTGTAACAGATTAACAAGACACGGAAAACCAGACACACACACACACACACACACCTTACCGAGTTTGACCTCAGCGTTCTCAGTCAGAAGAACATTCTGGCCTTTGATGTCTCTGTGGATGACCTTATGAGCGTGGAGATGGGACAGGCCCTGAGAGAGAGAGAGAGAGAGAGAGCGCAAGAGAGAGAGTGTAGTGTAGTGAGTCAGATACTAGTTAAAATCAGATTCAGTTTAGCATGTGCTCAAAACTTTGTTTCTTTTATGGCTGCACAACATATGATTTGCAAATTATCATGATGATACTGGTCTTAGCAATACCGATATCACAAAATGCTGGAATATGCCAACGAGCTCTCTAACCATTCACAATGTCTTTCTCTGCATGCTGTAAGCCTCCAGTCTCCGTCTCAGATGTTCTTTTTGGTGTTTTGATGGATCAAAACTTCAAACTTCTGATCAAAATAATGCAGGCCAGTATTATTTTAACCATTACTGTAACCATTAGGAATGGACCGATATAGAAATGGTGTTCTAAATGCCAATATTCAGTGTTTTATATACATATCTGCTGATACTGCTACCTAACACTGATGAAAAGCAGATACTGGAACTAGAATTACCAGAAATTTCACATTTATTTCTTTAAGCTTACAAAATATGGTAAAATGAATAAAATATTTGTCAAATCTTATTCGTCCGATGTCGAATACAAAAATGATTTTGATATTATTGTGCATGTATCTATGTCTATGTCTATTGTGCATGTGTAGTAAATATGACATCACTAATATGAGCAGAGCAGTGCGAGTGCAGGTAGTGTTAGGATTTCTTGCAGAAGCTCAAAAAAAACCCACTACTAATTACATGTACAAATATATTATTATTTTATTACTAATTTATTAAAATTATCATTAATATTAATACTGGAATGCTGCTGCTCTTTAGAAGCAGTGTGCACTGTAACAGGCATCAGAAACAGTAAACAGCAATTAAACAGTTATTAACACAATCTACGTATTTATGGCTACCTTTAAAATCAGAATGAAGCAAATCATATTTTTGTGCCCTGGAACATAATTTGGGTCAGAAAGGGTTAAACGTTTGGGTGCTATGTGACATCACTGGCTAATCACTGGCTAATTATTGTACTGTAGCACTTGAATATAGTCTGTAAATACTACAACCTTACTGTACCAGATTACACAGACTGTAAAACTCCAACACACAAACTACAAAAAGGTAAACAGACAAAATCGTTAGCTTGATGCTAATATTACATAAAAAATGGGCACTGATGGGCTAACAGAAATTAGCATTAAGCTAACCATAGAAATGTAATGAAAATAGGAAAATTATAAAGTGAACTAAAATCAGCTTCTGGATTGAACATGGCTTTATTTATGGTGGGCATGACATGAAAGGCTGGCACTTTCATGATGTTATGACTTTATTTTACAGACATTAAATGTTAAGAGTCTGTAACATATTAAAATGCATATCAGAATCACAACAAGATCAAAAGAATCGCAATAGAGTATTCGGCTCATATCGTGCTGCCCTATGTATCAATATAAAAACATTTCTGTGTTTGTCTCACCCGCAGGATCTCTCTGCAGATATATGCGATCCAGTCTTCCTTCAGCGAGTTTCCTTTGGTGTTTTTCACCAGGTCTGTTACTGAGCCGGCACCGCAGAACTCCATCACCAGCTACAAACACAAACACGGAATCTTTCACATGCACTGACACCTTCATATTCCAGATAATGAAACAACAGTACATACACAAACATGACCCAAAGACAAACTGCAGCATGATTCACACTGATTAATAAAACTGACTTTGATTCTGTTTGTCAACATGATTATTTTGAGTTATTTTGTCCTGAGATTAATTATGCACCGTCAGTCAAGCTCAGAGTTTAAACTGAAAGCTAAATTAGTCATGAAGTGCCCGGAGCCCGGTGCCTAACTGATGTTATTTTGCCCAAGACTGAGCATTAAGCCAGGCAGAGTTCTGCAGAGACCACACCCGATTCAGCTAATCAAAGCAGGACTAGCGTAACCTGCTTTAACCTGTGTCCAGATCACTGGCCCAAAACATTGGGTTCTACTTTTTACTATAAATAAAAACCTTTGGCCACTGTTTTCAGATATCTTCCATAAACCACACTCCTTATCACTTCAATGTGACTGGGCAGCTAAAGAGCTGTAGGCTGAATGGTTGTTATATATATATATAAATGCGTTCATGGTTGTGACATCACAGTCATGTTGAATTCTAAACAGTCAGGCAGAACTCACCTCAGGTTGTGTTTATAAGTACAGTAGCTAACATTAGGCAGTAACATCGACAAAAACTCTAAAAAAACAGCGTTTTGCAGTTGAAGCATTTTAAGAGCACTGGGGCTTCATTCCTTGATAAATTTATGTTTAAAAAAGTTTGTTTAAGAAACGTTTCCACTGTTTGCTGCCTTGAGCAGAAACATGCAGGATTTCAGTAAAGCAACATCAAGAGTACTGGAGTAGGTAACCTTATGCTGTATAAAGCAGCATGCAAGTATCTTGATTACATTATCAGTGATAATGTAAATTCTCCCTAAAAACAGAACCTTATACAGTATTCTGTAGAGCAGCATTGTATCCCTACTACAGTTGGCTGCAATAATATATTAGTTTTCCCTAGTAGTAACATCAGCTCTCTGGTTTCCTTCTGCATTCACAAGCCAACGAAACAAAAGAACATTTCAAACAGTCCACACCAATAAATCCACCCCAAGTAGCTCCTCCCACCAAGTTCCTAATCTTTACACGAAAATTTCACTCTAAAGACCACTGAGGCACTGCTGTAGGATACGAGTAAGTATCTTAAATGTAGTGATGGTTACATTTTTCATTTTGGCCCAAGAGTCCCTGTTTTTGCAGCTTGGTTTGCAAATATGGACTGTATGGACTGAGAAGTGAATGCTTCGTTTTGTGTACATGGTGCATCAAACCTTAAAAAAAATAAATAAAATCAAGCTTTCCTGCTGTATAAAGCATACAGACCCAGAGCTGGTCGTCATGGCCTGGTGGGCTCTTCTTAACAAAGGCTCCGTAGTATGTGGCGATGTTGCGGTGGTGGCTGTACTTCTTCAGCATGTTGATCTCAGCCTTTATCTCCTCCTCCTCTTCCTCTGTGACGTCCATCACCTTTATAGCAGCCAGCTGCCCTGTCTTCACATGGCGCCCCTGAGAGGGAGAGATAGCGAGAGAGAAAGAGATGAAAGAGGAGAAGAGACCGTTTAGGAGCAGCAGCTGGAAGATGTGGGGTCTATTAATAGCTGGAGAAAGGTCCATATCTGAGATATCTGAGCATGCAAACAGTGACCTCTCAGTGACACTTTTACTCTACACTCTTACAGTTCAATACACTTTACACTACAGCAGTAACCTCAAACTGACCCCCTCATCTTTTTATACTACAGCACAATGACCACTAACTGACACTCTTTACACACGGAGCACTGACCTCTAACTCGCCCTATCACTCTACACTTGCACCATCCAGTACACCTCATAATACAGCACTGACCCCATACATGCCAATATTATTATTCAACCTCTTAAACTGAAAGCTTATTCAGGTATTAATCGTGAAGTAAGAGCCTGACCAAATGCTTACATGGCTAACGGTAAACACACAAGCTAGTAAGTACCAGTTACAATGATGTCATTCTCATGATACTAAGTGATGGCAGTTTGGTTTAACTCACCGTTAGCAATCAATTGCATTTTAACATTTTTAACCAAACTATTCTTTGAAGACTTACTAATCATCCTTTATTAATCAACCTTAATTTAGACTTGGACCATTGTAGATGACCCCAATTTGCAATGCAGCAAAGCAAAAGGTCACAGAATATACAGGGTTTTAAAACAAGAAAATGGTTATAACTATGTGCACAATGGAATTCAATCAACTAAAACTAAAATGATCAATTAAAGTTATTAAGCAACAACTAAAAACATAAAAAAAGGAAAAACAATAAAATTAAATAAAATAAAAAAATTATACCAAGAACTGACAGAAATACTAAACAACTAAAACTAATAAAAATATCAAACAAAACTTGTGATTCTAATGTGTGACACTGTAGGTATGAGAGTCAAAAATTGAAGTGTGGTACACGGGCATTTAAACCTCGGAAGAAGCCATTTCTATAGGTGTTAAATAACTATATCCATTAGCAAACCCATTAGTTTCAACTGTCAGCAGCAGTGCAGCGATTCAAAGAAGGTATTTTAGTTTAGTTTTCAGTATGATCAGAAAAAAAACATCTCTCCTCACACTTCACACTCTTTCTCCATCCCCCACCTTGCTCTCACCAAAACTCTCCTCATCTCTCCATCCTATACTTCCAGTTCACCTCCTCATCCCTTCCTCTCTGTTGTGAAGGGGTGTGAAGTGGCCGGTCTACACAACAACAGTAATCTGAACTAATCCACAGTTTAGCGGCACTCTGCTAGCACAGATCACAGTAATTTACTCAATATACTGAACATATTTCTCAGTGCCCCTCCTTCTTTCAATCTAAGGGTGAAGCAAAAATGTTCTCTCATTATATTTATATTTACACATTACATAACACACATCACAAAATTTGATTTACCTGAGGTTTGCAAACAAGTTGGTATGGACACAACAAGCCAGCAAAACAGTCATACAGCAAAATTCAAAGGCTACAAAGATGTTTTTAACTTGAGATTTGATTCAACATAAACCTTTGTCTCTCCCTGAAGTCCACATGACCCTTTTCCAACCTCTTTTATCCCTTAGTATTGATCAGGCTGTTTATGTTACCGTGCCTTTAAGACTGATATTTGCAAATGGACTTTTATCTGGATTGGCTACCCAGTATTCTGACTCATTCTCTTTCAGTTCAGGCTAAAACAGTCCTAATTATGTTAGCGTGAATGGGCGGGGCTCAACAGTCGTAGGCTGAAAAGGTGCATACAGGTAAATGTGTCCATCCCAAAAATGAGGAATTCAAAATAGACTTATTTTTCAGCATAATTTACATAAATGAAATGCATGGACAAGGTAGTAATTAGCAACTTTAACAGTGTATACATACTGTTGGCATTCCAATATATGAAATAGAATAAAGAAGGAACTGCAGGAAAAAAAACTCAATAAATAAAATCAGACAATGATACAATGGATTGACATCCAATAAGCTCCCTGTTACTGTGCAGTTTATGCATTGGCTCTCTATAATCTGTCTTTGTGAAGCACTTAAATGAACACTAATCTAGCACTTACTGATGGTGTTGCACTTATGCTATGTCTTTATTTTTTGTATCTTTCCTTCTAGGTATAAGCACTGACTTGTTTCTGGAAGTGTCTTAGCTCATGGATAGTTTGGACTCTTACCTATTTGTGCTGGCTAGGATACATTCTCTGAGTGGACACAACATACTTTTGTAAGTTGCTCTGGATAAACATTTAAATGTAAATGTTTTTGCGATCTCTAAAAGTACTACAAAAGACAGACTGTATGTTGTGGCATAATTTATCACAATAATAACATTAGCATTAAACTGACAACCTGCCTCCAGCCCTCCTTCCTTCCCTCATCCCTCTCAGTCTCTAACTGACTCATTAATTCATATGTTAAAAAACAGCAATAAAGCAAAAAGCTTGCTACATTTTAGCAAACACAGTAAACCACCATGTTTCAGCATGAACAACCACCCAATTGCTTGGGGCAAGTTAAAAGCTTAAGTGGGAGAGCAACGTCGTAAATCACTTGTCTGGTCTAATAAGCCGACTTTTTCATATTTTCGGGGATAATTTTGTGATGTTCCTGATATTACCTTTAATCTTTTTCATATGGAAACATCATCTCACCATGGAACAACGGTCCAATCTAGGTGTGTTTCGAGTTAAATTTAGCCAGTTACATTATTTATTCACTAATCGTCCAAATTACCACAGAAGGGTTTGTGTGAAGTTCAGATAACTTCTGCTTTATATGAGTCTGTTTTTTGTACTGAAGAGTGAAGAGTGAAGACATATGATAAGGATAAGAATAAGAATAAATGGATTGTCCCTGTGCATGTGTGCTTTGTGATATTTGGAGGAAAAAATATGTTTGGGACCATATAAACTCTTTTTGGGACAGTAAACAGTAAACTTTAATATCACTTGCCCAGCTGGACAAGTTGGGGGGAAAAGTTCAAACATAACTCTGGCCCCTCTCTTTTTCCCCTCCACCTGTCTATCTCTTCACCTTTCCTTCTCTCTCCCAGTCCTTCCCTCTCTCCCCTCCTCACCTTGTACACCTGTCCATAGGTACCGTTGCCCACAACCTCCACCAGCTCAAAGATTCCCGCTGGGTCCTGGAACAGAGACAGAGAGAGAAGCATTAGTACACACTGCGAAATCACACATACATAGTATAACCGCACACACATTTACACATACTCCCCCTTCGCAGAGCAAAAACTGAATGTGAATGCACAGTACAGTACAGCTTCTTCCTAACCCAAAACCCAGGAGCTAAAAATACACTCCAAATTCAAGCTGTAATTGACAGCTCTGGCTCAGGAAAACCACATCAAAATCTGTTAAAGCAGTGATTCGGCAGGAAAAAAGTACAAGTCTTCTTCTTGCCCTTACCTCAAATGTGGCTCACTAGCCAAGATACGTTTGGCGTCCAAAGTTCTTCTTTACTTTTGCTCTGGCTAATATATGACATTATACATCACCAGTTAGCACTGTGTAAACTACATGACTAAATCATCATACACCCTGCTGAGCTGTTCAGTAATCTCAAATAGGCACAGTATGACATACTGCTGTCTACAAAAGTGGACAGAGGTATGTTGCATAGCTAAAAACATTCATTTTTCTCTCTCTCTGTCCATTTTCATAGATAACAGTAGACAGTAGCTTGCATGATGCTAAATGGTGGGGTTAAAGCTTCCATTACTAGACAAGTAGCTCCAGTGCAGAACTAAACAAACAAACTTCAGACACTAAACATGTCTTGGCTCACTGACTACATTCAAGTTGAGGGAAAAATTGTGTACCACGTTTGGTTACACAGAGTTGAGCTGTGGGTGACACTACACATTTACCCCGATTGTCAATCAGGCCAAACCTGTGCTGGTTGCTTCTGATAGTTTCAAACTAACTGGAGTATAAACATCTTTTTTTTTCCAACGAGACTACAGAAGTAGAAGATTCCCCATAAGAGTCCATGAAGAGTGAGGAAAAAAGAAAATAAAGCAAATAAAAGAAGAAAAATGGCAAACAGACATTCACGTGTTAAACGGAGCTTCTTCTTCAATTGACTTTAAGGCAGGAGCGCAATCAAGTGCCTGTACAACATAAACTCTAAAAACTACGGCGGTGATCATGCCTCACATTTACAACCCTCACCCAAACGTGTTTTACCAGCTTTTTCTTTACTGTGAAAAATCCTGTAAAATCAAGCAAATCTATCACCCTGTTTGTTTTCTGTCTAGCAATAATAGGAGAGTATGTGTGTCCGAGCAAGTTTGGCTCAGAATAGCAACAACTTACAAACAGAAATCCACAGAAATTAGCCAAAAATTGGTGGGGTACAAAAAAAAATAAATAAATAATAATAAAAAAAAATCAGTTCTCCTTCTTTTTATAGCTGACTTCATGTAGAAGCTGTTTACACCTTGTTTTAAAATGTTTTATGTCCGCATTGCATCTGCGTTTCTTTGGCGGATTCTATTTAAACGTTTTACTAAAATGCGTCCCCAGTCTGATCATGATTTTGCATGTGATTATACAAGCTTGGCTTGGACACTTTCATTGACTGAGAGTGCAAGAAATCAATAGGTTTTGTGATAAATCAAGCCTTGCATATCCTCCATCTTGTGTTTCCTTGTTTATCCTCTCATCTGCTAGTCGGCAGATGCATTTCCGCTTACATAAGTGTATGTGGATACAGAAAACACATTCCATTTACTATTGTATTGAATGCGGTCAAGATCCGTCTCTGACCACCTCCCAGTGTGGTTTGGGTGATCCGACTGCAGAAAACGCAAGCTGATGTAAGGTGTAAACAGCCTCGAAATGCATCCAAGGCTCTGCAGTATTTTACTGTATCCGATAACAGTCCTAATGCTCCGAAGTAGAGCAGCTCTTACAGTACCAGCCTGCTGTGGAAACCTACTGTGTGTCGGTGTGTCAGGACACACGCTACGCTCGTTCTGCTCAGGGTTCACGTGTGTGCGCTACGTCATGGCTGTGAAACGCTGCCAAGTACTGCAAAAGCGAAAGGCAGCGAAGTGGGTTAAAAACAGCCACACGCACTTGTTCAATATGGCCTCGGCAGGGCTCTGTGGGAGGACAGGTCTGCCGCTCTTCACAGCTCACATACGCGTCTAGATCTCTCATCTTGCTCTCTTTCATATTCCCTTTTCCCCTCTCCTTCTAAAGGAGATCACAGTATCTTCCCTCTGACAGTAAACAACATGAAGAGACTGGTTAGAGGATGTATGGTTACATGCAAATTCAGGGGGGGAAACAAACCAACACACAAGCAAAAACAAAATGAACTGATGCAAGAACTCGACACTGCCAGGACGTTATGAACGTCGTGGTCAAAAAGGTGTCATCTGCAACACTGAAGACGACCTAGACATGATTATGATTCACTGAAGTGGGAAAACAACAAATTACACTGTAAAAAAGAATCAGAAATAAAGGAACGTAAGCACGTCTATAAAACCTTCAGAGGTGAGAAAAGGGAGAAGTGATAAAAGGAAACGAGAGACCAGAGAAGAAATGAACGTGGAAGAAAATAATAGCAGAGAAAAACTGAAAAAAAGATAAAGGGAGAAGGAGAGGGAAAGACAGAGAGAGATAAAGAGAGAGATTAGTTGAAAATGATGACAGGGTTGCCCACCTCCTACTCTGTGAGTGGGCAGAGGAGGAGAGAGAGAGGGAGAAAGAGAAAGGCTGGAGGTGTGGAGAACTAGATGAGTGTGGGGAAACGTGACATCAGAAGGCTCGAGACCTTCAATGATGGCTGAAGAGATGGAGAGGAGGGAAGAGAGGGGAAAAAAAAGTCGAGCTCTGTCATTCATGCTGGTCTGCTAAAGCGGCACACGGTAGAGAAAATCACACATTGTGATTCCGATGTAATTTGTTGTAAATTGCAACATATTAACAACGCAATATATGAACACGTTAGTAATCTCACATATCGGCAGAAAGTCTGATGTGCTTCTTCCCTCAAAATGGCCAAAAAACATCCATTTTGACAGAATAGAGCCGTTTGACATGCAAACTAACCAACTGGAAACCACTGTTTAAATAAGACTATAACCAAAACAAACCTGCGCATCAAACGGATGTGAGTCAGCAAATAAACAAGAATATATCTCACTTAAAAGCTACTAAATGCATCAAATAAACTGCTTTAATTACTTTAAAAGACACATTGCCATGAACTTCACAATCATTTTATTTCAATCCAACAACTATAGATTCAGCGCACAGAGCAGGTCACTGTTGCAAAAGTTTTGTTTCCCATCGGACTCATAAAACATGCTGCACGTTAGGGGTGATTAATTCTTAGATGCATCGCGATGCGGACATGGATGATTCTGAATCGATTCGCAAATGTCAAAAATCGATTTTCTAAGTTTTAATTTATACCAGGTACCAGGAAACCAGCTGGAGAGCTTATAAATGCAAATAAGTCCACTTGTCTCCAAATGTTGTCTCAAATCTCTGTTTTTTCGTTAGCTACTAGCTAGGCAGGATTGTCTGAATTGCTATGTGACCTGCAGTTTACACGCCAACCTTCAGGGTTAAAGGTGGTGGATCAGCAGCGTTTAAGACCATTTATTGTTAAAACTGCGTTAGAATTATCGGTAGAGCTTTATTTTACAGCACAGTAGGATTATTTTATTTTTACCTAAAAATCGAATTCTGCTGTGGAGCTGCTGTGAACAGGGCTGTAAAAGAGCCGTATGTTGCCGAGCCCTGAGCTAGCGTATGGAAGCACTTTGGCTTCTATGAAGTTGGAGGGAAAAAGGATCTGGACAGGAGCCGCACTACAGGAAGGTTGTGTCACGCAAAAAAAATATTGTGGAAACGACAAACATTAAAAACCATAATACACGTTTCCACGCGTTTTCCACCCCGTTGTAGTTGCTGCCAACCAGAGGACCATCGAGCAAGCGATGCCGAAGCTTCTACCCAACTCAGAAAGAGCGAAGCAAATTACAAACTCTATCGTAACTTTTACTGCCAGGGATCTGCATCCGTACTCAGTCACTGAGAACCAAGGCTTTTGCGCTATGTTGGACACTTTAGAGCCGACATACAGCGTCCCGTTCTGAAGATATTTTACTGACAAAGCCAATCGGAATGCAACTAGCAATATTCCGACACAGTGGCCAGTTCAGCTTTCTACAGATATGAGACTCTCCATGTATGTCTGGGCAGAGGGTCTTAGGCTAAGACTATCACTGAGCCAGCCTATATGAAATAAAATATATGCCATTTGCTGCTTTGACTAAATAATATAAATAAATAAATGAATGCATGAATAGATTAAAATATCAATGTATTTCGCAATGTTTCTAGCTAGAAAACACTAAAGCTCTCTTGCTGCAAGTGGCTATAAAACTATAAAAGGCTTAACCGACTAATACAGGACCATACTGCAAGCAGTGCAGCAGCAATTCTGTGCTATTTGTGGTCTAAAATGCACTTTAAATAAACTTTAAGCTAATTCTGACAATCAAAGTAATGTAACAGTCGAAATAAGAACAGAAGCACCGAAAACGAGATTATTAGTGGGATTATTGGGCAGCCTGCGTTTGTCCCTGTGTCAATACTGGAGCAGACCCTGCAGGAGCAATTTAGCATCAGTGCACAAGAATAATAGCAGGTCTCGTACTGCTTTCATTAATATCTCATACCGCTTTCATTAATTGCTCGTAATGTTTGAATCTTTTTGAGTGGAATAGGCTTATTCATTTAAGAGAGGCTAAAAAGGATATAATGCATATGAAATACTTTTCTGCTCCACAAACACATTTTTAAATTAGCACTCCATAATGTCTGATAAATAAATAAAGCTTGTATATAAAAAAAATAGCTTTATGTGAGTAGTACACCATTAATGATCTCCAAAAGGAGAAGCAAAAACAAAAATGCATGTACAACTGCTGTGATCCCTTCACATATTTATCTACTTTGTTAGTACATAGTGGCATTAGTATTTATTGATTAGCATGTCTCAGAAGTATCAAATTTAAGGACTACTAACCTCCCCAGGCTCTGATCACGCAGGACAACAAATAGCGGATTTTAAATGTTTGTCTAAGGCTACATTCAGACT